AAATTGCAGAGTGTCCCTGCATGGGTCTCTCTGTAAACCATCACCTGACACTGAGGCAGCTGAGGCAGCTGAGGCAGATCCACTGAGCAGGATCACAGGTTCAAGGCCCACCTCATCTACACAATGAGACTCAATGACAACCAAGAGCAGGGGGACCGGTTAGACGGCTTGCTGTCTTGTTAAGGGCAGTCTTTCTAAGTTCAGGGCCAGCGCTGGTCACGTGACACCCTCTTTTCTATGTCATCTTGCTGCAGAAGGCATCCTGAGTGATCTGCAGAAAACTGGGGTGGTGTTGGCATCACAAAAGCTTCCTGGCTCCCAGTGTCCAGAAATGAAATGGTTTCCCTTGAATGTGGCAGTGGCACAGGCTCCTGTTTAATGCTTTGGCGGAGATGTTTTGGGAACTTTGTTTGAGGCATCATTGGGGTGAGGGAGAAAAATTTTTATTGTCTGATGAATTATCCTTTATGCCATAATTAATTTTTTTCTACCATTTATTTATTTCCCATTTATTTATCTGTATTTTGCAATGTTAGGGACTGCGGCTAGGACTGCAGGCATGCTACACAAACATTCAACTGCTGGGCTACATCCGTAGCCACAGATGTTAGCTTTTCAATGCATTTATAAAAATAAATTAAAATGCTTAAATTAAAAAAATTACATTTATCTATTTATTTATTTAGGGGAGGGGTACATGTGGGTCTTAGGGATCAAACTCAGGTTGTCAGGTCTGTTGGCAAAGTGCCTTTATCCGCACAGCCATCTTGCCAACCCTAACTGCTGTATTTTATAAGAGAGTTTTGTGTCTGAGTTGAGAATTGTTGGTGGGTTTACTATTGAGCTAACTAAAACAGTGTGAAGGAGATAGGCCATGAAGAATTCCCAGCCTTCCCCCCCCCTCCTTGCATGAGATTTCTGAAACTTCACCCTGGTTAGTTACTCCTTTGGTGCCCAGTTCTGTTTAGACACCCCTTGGCACCCCGAGGTGCCCAGTTCTGTTGGGCTCTTTGGTGAGTGAAGTATTAGCAACGGTGGTACCCTGAGAAGAGTTCCTATGTAAGAGTTTGCTTCTTAGTAGCAATGACTTTGGGGAAGTCATTCATAATTTGTAAATGAGTGATTATGAAATTAAGGTACAACCTTGAAGCAACTTCTTGGGCAACCAAAAGCACTTGTAAATGTTTATATTTGTGAGGGCCTGGGAGATGGCTCAATGGTTAAGAGCACTTGGCTACTCTTGCAGAGGTTCAGTTCCTAGCACCTACCTGGCAGCTCACAACTGTCCATAACTCCAGTTCCAGGGGACCCATCCCATGCCTTCTTCATATCTCTGTGGGCAACAGGCACACATATGAGTGCTCATATATACATGCAGGCAAAGCACTCATACACATATAACTATTTAAAAACATTGCCCATTTCAATGTTTAAAAAAAAACTTTTAAAATGTTTGTGTGTATAATGTACATATATTCCTATTTTATTTTTGGTTTTCTGGGGATTAGACCCAGGACTTTGCACTTTATGAGTGTGTGTCCTGTCTAAGGGTCTCTCCTCCTCAGGATTAATTCTAACACTGTGCACAGAGCTATTCTTTCAGTATTATTAGTAGTTGGAAATGTTTATAAATGACATAAATGTTAAAAGCTGACCAAGCCCTTGGTAGAGTATTTATGTAACTTAAAAGTCTTCAAAAGCTACATAATAACATGCAAAATAGTCAATGCAATTTTGAAAAAAATGTTAAATGATTTTCTTTAATGTTTGTTCTATGTTCAAAACCAAACTAATGGTAGCATACACCTTTAACCCCAACACTTGGGGCAGAGACAGGTGGATCTCTGAGTTGGGGGACAGTCAGAGCTACACAGAAAAATCCTGTCTCAAAACAAAACAAAACAAAACAACAACAACAACAAAAAACCCCAAAGAACAAACCCGAAGGAACTAACGCTAGAAGCACACTTGTGGTTCTCAGACTTTAAGACTCCCAATTTATTGGCAAATTTCATAAGCTGTAGAGGACTGAAAAGAGGGTTGTTGTTTTCTTAGCAGTAGAGTCCAAAGTGCTAACATAAAAGTTACTACAGCACAGCAAAGTGTGGTGCTGTACACCTGCAGCTCCAGTGCATTGGAGACAAAGACAGGAAGATCCTGTGTTTCAGGCCAGTCTAGAGCCTGCAGGGGCTTTGTAGAAATTCTGTTGGTCAGCCAGCCAGCCAGCCAGCCAGCCAGCCAGCCAGTCAGTCAGTCAGTCAGTCAGTCAGTCAGTCAGTCAGTCAGTCAATCAATTATAATATGAAGGCACTGTGCTTAAAATTAATATCAAAATTGGATTAACACAGCATGCTGGCTACTTTTATGACAAGCAACAGTCTTTTGAAAAGAGAACTGCAGTTGAGCAGAGTGGTCCTACCTGCTTAGCCTGTGGGCAAGCCTGTGGTGCCTTTTCTTGATTGGTAATTGATGTGGGTGGGCCCAGCTCACTGTGGGTGGTGCCAGCCTTGGGCTGGTAGTCCTAGGTGCTATAAGAAAATTGGCTAAGTAAGCAATGGAAAGCAAGCCAGTAAGCAGCACTCTTCCATGGCCTCTGCTAGGTTCCTGTTCTGAGTTCTTGACCTGACTTCTCTCAGTGATGGTGAAATAAACCCTTTCCTTCCCAGGTTGCATTTGGTTATGTTTTATCACAGCAATAGAAAGCAAACTGAGATACACAGAAGCCTGCTTTTCCCAAGTCTGATTTATTTTAGTCACAGAGACAGACCTCTGAAGAATAACTGTCTCAAAGATGAGTGTGGTGGTTGGAAGCAGTGCCTGCATTGCCCTTTCTCTCTACTGTAGTTTCTGCCTCTGCTCACCTGTCACCAGATCACAGCTGGTTTTTCTATCTCTGGTTTGTGGGTACTGTGCCCAGTATCCCTCCTTACTACAGGGAACTTGTCAGCATAGGCATAAAACCAAGTCTGTTTTATAGCTGTTGGACCAGGGAAGGCAAAGAAAAGGTTGAGGGTAACCTAAGTCCTGTCTTTTATTTTCTGCTAGTCTAGTAACCTCAGAGAGGAGGAAGATCCAACCACCCATGGGAACTGTCTCTGACCCGGGCAGATGAATCCACTGTACTTTTATCCATAGTCTGCCTTATGACTAGACATCATACCAAAAATAAATGCTTTTTGTCTCTTGTGCTGTTCCTGGCTTCAGCTGTTGTGAGGTTGTTCCTGTTAATGAGAACCCGAGTTAGAAGGTCCCTTGAGACCTGGGGTTGCCAACCACTGCTTGCCAGAGTCATCACACTCAACTTCCTTCTCTCCCCTATTAGTTGTTGATACAGGGTCTCTCTGCATAGCTTTCTGGAACTCACTCTGTAGTCCTGAACTCCAAGAGATCCACCTGCCAATACCTCCCAAGTGCTGGAATCAAAGGCATGTGCCACTACACCTGGCCATCCATATCCTTCCTAGCAGTAAAATATTAGACGAAAATATGTGACACGTGTCCTTTGGTTACAGCTCTTTCCACTTGGCAGCTGCCATTCTTTCCTACACTGTTGTCCTGATCTTTAGGATACAGCAACAGTATTGTTTGAATTTTGTGGACTGGGCAGATTGATAGTTAATTTAGTTTCCATGGCAACTCTTTTGGGAAACTTGCTTCTTTTCTTTATTATAATATTTGAAAGTCAGAAGAAAAGCTTGTTGTCATTGTGTTCCGTAGACAAGCAGAAGGTTTTCTGGTCCATTCATGTATCCATCCAGCCTTTACTTATTGCCTACTGTGTGTCAGACAGTTCGAGGTACACTGAAAGAGAATACATTTGAAAATAAAACTGACTGTTCTATAGCATTTGAGGGGGAAAAGAGAATTGTTATTTTTCTTGTTTTTAAAAAGACTAGGAAAAAATCTTTACATATATTTAATGTGTGTGTGGGTACATGGGATTTACTTATTTTATGTGTGTGATTGTTTGCCTCCATGTATGTATGCGTACCATGTATGTGCCTGGTGTCCACAGAGGTCACATAGGGGTTTTGGATCACCTGGAACTGGACTTACAGATGATTGTGAACTGCCATGTGGGTGTTAGGAATGGAACCCAGGTCCTTTAGAAGAGCAACCAGTAAGTACCCTTAACTGCTGAGCCATCCCTCCAGCCCCTACCTTTTTAGTGTTGTGGAGATACTGGGCATTGAATTAGGACTTAGTATTTAGGATTTAGAATTTACTGCTTAGGTAAGTGCTGTACTACTGAACTACTCCCTTATCCCTCTTTGGCTCTTAGTGTAAATGTCTATGGGTACAGTCACACTTTAAAATTCATTATTCCAGCCTGGCAGTGGTGGTGCATGCCTTTAATTCCAGCACTCCAGAAGCAGAGGCAAGTGGAGCTCTGATTTTATTGTTTTTCGAGACAGGGTCTTTCTGTGTAGCTCTGGTTGTCCAGGAACTCACTCTGTAGATTAGGCTGGCCTCAAACTCACAGATATCCAACTGCCTCCGCCTCCAGAGTGCTGGGATCAAAGGCATGCACCACCACTGCCTGGTGGATCTCTGATTTTGAGGACTGTCTTCAGAAAAAACAAAACAAAAATCAAGTAAAAGGGAAGGGAGTGTGGAGCTTGCTATTTACTTTTTCCTGAGGCATTTCCTCCCTTTGGTATTTTAGCTGATTGCTCCAAAAGCAGACTTAGTGCCTCAGCCTAGCAGGTCACTGTCCTGAAAAGACCACCAGTGACAAAGACAGTGGCTTGTTGTAAATGGATTTTCTTGGCCTCGCTAAGGGGCAGCAAGGACTTAAGAGTAGAGTTTGAGGTTCCTGGAGCACCCTCACCCTGTGGAGAGGGTGCCATTTGTCTTTTGCATTTAAGGTGCCATCTCACAGGTCTGAGCTGGGGAGTGTGGCTGTGTGGAAGGCATTGAAGAGCATTGTTACTGTTGGTTTAGGAGAATGGAAATTCAGATCCATAAGGAACTTCTGACCCTCGTTTCCTTTTGTACAGGTGGATGGAAGCGTGCCTCGGGGAGGACCTGCCGCCTACCACGGAGCTAGAGGAGGGGCTTAGGAATGGAGTCTACCTTGCCAAACTAGGGAACTTCTTCTCTCCCAAAGTGGTGTCCCTGAAAAAAATCTATGATCGAGAGCAGACTAGATACAAGGTGAGTTCTTTGCATAGTGCTTAGATTATTCTGTGTGCTTGAGAGGGTGTCTGTGTGCTTGTCTGGTGTTTGTTCCAAGCAAGCCCAGGGTAAGAGAGAGTAAGTGTGCAGATGTAGATACAGTGGGAAATGTCATTAGCTGTGCATTTCTGGTAGCATGCTTCTGACAGAGCTATTTATTTAGAATTTCTCAGCCCTGGATGGCTTTTTGTTGTTGTTTTTCATTCTTAGAAAGTAGAGGAAGTAACTGGGGGGAATTACCACGGTCAGTCTCACTAGAACTAGGCACTGAAGTATATCAACTTTGGGAAAATTCTTATTGCAGTGAGTGGACTGATTCCTGTGACTGAGGCCGTGGGAATTACTGTCTGAGAGGCAGTGGAGGACTGCATAGCCAGAGTAGTGTAAGGATTGACTTCAGGACTGGGCCCAAAGTCATATGAGCTAAAGCCACAGACTGACTGTGAAAACGGTTTTTATATTGAAAAATTCAGGTCAAGAAACTATAGGTCTTCAGCCAAAATCACCTTTATGTACTAATTGTCTGAAATGAGACAAAGAGGAAAGACTGTCCTCTGGCCTGTAGTTCCCGGGTATAGTCCGTCTTCATGTTGCTCCTGTCTTTCTTGGCTGTGGTAATTATCACAGCAGGGAATGGAGGAAGGGGGGGGGGTGAGGTCCACTCACCTCTGCACTGTTCACTGGGGACTAACCCTGTAACTCAGGATACTGGGGGATTTTCTATCTCGGTCCAAACCATGAGATCCTAAACAGAAACAACTTCAACTTCTTCAAGACAGAGTCTTGATGTCTGGCTGGCCTGGAGCTCACTTCTTAGACCAGGCTAGCTTCAAACTCATAGGTCCAACCTATATATGTCTCCCAAGTATGAATCCCCTGTGAGACGATAGCATCTCCTCCCTAAGTCATTACGTTTAAAATGTATTAGTATTTTGAATTTTAAGTAAACAGTTATGCTAAAGACATCCTTAGAGCCACCTCTCCCCTTTGTAGGGTCTCACTTTGTACTCCTGGCTAATCCAGAACTTGTTATACAGACCAGGCTGGCCTGGTCTGTGTGTCTCTGCTTCCCAAGTGCTAGGGTTAAATGCACACACCACCACACCAAGCACTGGAGCTGTTCATGTAAACACAATAGCAGCACACTAATGCAGAGTAGAGGTTTTGCTTGTTTTGTGTAACGTAGGGTCTCAATTTGTAATCCTGGCTGACCTAAAAATGTCACAATTCTGCTCCTGCCTCCTGAGTGACACAGGTGTGTGACATCATGTACAACCTTACATTAATTTTTAAAAAATGATTTGCAGCTGTGATTTCTTTAAATAATAATAATTAAAAAAAACCTAGTTATATATTCCTTTGTAGCTGAGCATGGTGGCACACACCCTTGATCCCAGCATTTGGGAAGCAGAGGCAGGTGGATCTCTGAGTTTGAGGCCAGCCTGGTCTACAAAGAGAGTTCCAGGTCAGCCAGGGCTACACAGAGAAACCCTGTCTCAAAAAAAAAAAAAAATCAAAGCAACAGACTCCCTTTGCAAAGTAATCTTGTCCCAAACTAATAGACATTGGGCTATAACTCAGGGGTAGAGTTCTTGACTAGCATGTGTAAGGCCCTGAGTCTGATGCCCAGCACTATTTAAAGAATAAGCAGGTGGGCATTTACAGGGGATTACTTCTAAGTATATAATGAAAACCTTCACTGACATATTGTATAATACCTGTTCAAACACTAACCTAAGGGGTTCTGTGTACACTATCTCATACAGCCTCACACAGATGCGCTAAGTAGCTATACTAGATGAAGTGTCTCAGGCTGCAAGGGTGAGTGACTGTCCACTGTCATCAGTAGATGGCCAAGCCTGAGAACTGAGTCTTGGATAGGTTGATTCCAGAGACCATGCTGTAGAGCATACTGGTGAGCTAGGTTCCCCGGGCAGTTTGTATATAAGAGGAGGGAAGAATGTAGCTTCTTGGTGCCGAGTGTAATGACTTAGGGAGGGGATGTTGTAGAGTCTCACAGGGGATTCACAAGAAGAGTTATATGTGGTGTTTGCCAGCAGCACCTGACACTTCTGTTTCTTTCAGGCTACAGGCCTGCACTTCAGACACACGGACAATGTGATTCAGTGGCTGAATGCCATGGATGAGATCGGACTGCCTAAGGTAACTGCTTTTCATGCTATTGGTGGTTTTGTAATGTAAAATTATTCTCCATACCAACCAATCATCTATCCATCCTTCCTAATATTTTTCCTTCCATCCTTCCTCCCCTCCCTGTCTCTCTCCCTCCTTCCCTTTATGCCTTTATTCATTGTTTTTAAGATAGTGGCTTAAGCTCAATTTGTAGCATAGGCTGGCTTTGAACTCAAAATCCTCCTGCTTCAACTTCCAGAGTACTAGGATTATAGGTATATAACAACATGCTGGCTAATTTTTTTCCTTCTCAATGCTAAAGGTTCCTTTCAGTTTGACTTAAGAGAATAATTTTTTCTTTTATATTTGTTCTTTTTCCTTGTATGTCCTTCTTACCCTAGAGCAATTTCCTATAGCGGTATTTATTTTGACTACTTCAGTTGTAGGTTTATGTTGTTACGTGTGTTTTTGTTTTTGTATTTTTGCTGAAGATCAGACCAAGGGTGTTGCATATGCTAGGCCAGCACTCTACTAACTGAGCCACGAGCTACATGCCCAGCTTGGTTCTTTGGATAAGAGTGTACTCTGTAGCCCAGGTGGGCCTTGGAGATTCTCCTGCTCAAGCCTTCTGAGTGCTGGGATAGCAAGCATCATCCAGCCCATGGCTTTATACCTGCCTAGTGCATGTTAGTGTTGTTCAAAGATGCACTTTTTACATTATAGAGATGTACCACCTTAAAGTGCACAGTAGTGGTTTTTACTTATTCACAATGTTGTTGTAGAGATGTTGTCACCTTCCAACCTCAGACTATTCAGATCTGCAGGGAGTAGGAAAACTACTTCACAGTAATGAGGTATATGAGTGGCGGCTGTGGTTTTAACATGGAAGCATGCATCCTGAGTGTTTTGTTCAGGACTATATTTTGTGATGCCCTTAGTAAGTCATCATCTCTCACCTACTCAGTAGTTAGCCATAGAGGATGCACTGGCTGCACCTCCACTTTCACAGTCATGGTTTTGTATTTTTCTCTTAAAAAAAAATTAAGACAGGGTCTCATTAAGCAGTCCTGGTTGACTTAGAACTCACTATGTATGTAGACCAGGCTGGCCTCAAATTCTGCCTGCTTTCTGCATCTAAAGTGCTAGATTAAAGGTATATATCACCAAGATCAAAGAGACATGGCCTTCTTTCCTTCCTTCCTTCTTCCCTCCTTCCCTCCCTCCCTCCCTGTTTTGACATACCTCTATCCCCACCCCCATAACTCCAAAGATATAAGATGATGTATATATAAAGAGTTTTCAGCAGTGCTTATGGCTGGGGGTTGGGTTGGGGGTGGAATGGAGCAGACTACACGTTCTAAAGTAGCTCATATCTAAGCTACAAATACTAGTGCCATTAAAGATTGTCTTTGAAGCCAGGCGGTGGTGGTGCATGCCTTTCATTCCAGCACTTGGGAGGAAGAGGCAGGCAGATCTCTGTGAGTTCAAGGCCAGCCTGGTTTACAGAATGAGTTCCAGGACAGCCAAAACTATTACACAGAGAAACCCTGTCTGGAACCACCCCCACCCCAACCCCCACCCAAAAAAAAAAAAAAAAAAAGATTGTCTTTAGAGGCCTCAGAAGTGGCTTAGCAGCTCTGAGCACTAACTGCTCATCCAGGGAACATGGGTTTGATCCCCAGCATCCACACCGTCTGTAAGTCCAGGAGGTCCGCTGCGCTCTCCTGACCTCCACAGCTGCCAGACCTGTACCCGGTGTTCAGAAAAACATGCAAGGCAAATTGTTCATATGCATAAAAATTGAAAAGTTGTCTTTGATATTAAGTAAGGGGAAGGACACCGGCTTAAGGTTATAAAAACTTGTTCCAGCAAAGGTGAGATCACTGTTTTTGTGCAAAAATAAAGTAGGTATGCTTTGAAATGGAACATTGTTAAGGAGAAGCTTTTTGTTCCTGTGTGATGGGATTAGGGGGTGGTTTTTATTTTCTCTGTACTTCCCTGTGGGGCCCAGGTTTTTGTAATTGAAGAAAGAGAAAGAATAGAAGTAAGATGTAGAGTGTCGTAGAGTGACTGAAGTCAGCCACGTGGTACCAGCGCAGTGCTCAGCTCATCACTGCACATGGATCTGTTGCTGCCTCAAGTCCAGATCTGAGTCTTTGCAAGAAACCAGCTTTTGTCCTCACTTACTCAGAGCAGAGTGCCCAAGTGCTCGTCTTTGTAAGGGTGTGTTTGAGGTTTTGCTCCCACAAATGTCAGGAAATGCATTGCACCAAGTTGCTATGGTTACCTGGCCTTTCTATGCACCTATACCTTCTATTCCCGTTTTCTGTGATGTAAAATGCACGCTAGTATAAAATACTACACCGTGTACTGTGACTTCCTGCCTTTCATACAGTGTTGTCATCTGTGGGCAGTAGCATTTTAACCTCCTTTGAATGGTATTTAGAGTGTGTTTGTTTGCTGTTGCTAGGGGTTTTTGTTGTTTTGTTTTGTTGTTTTTCGTGGTGGCACTAGAGACTGACCCCAGGCCTTCATGCATGCTAGGCAAGTGCTCTATCCTTGCACTATACTCCCAGCCTTCATTAGTTTTTATTTTGAGACAGTCTCACTAAGTTGTCCAGGCTACCCTTCAGCTCAGTCTGTATCCAGGCACACCTTGAACTTAGGATTCTTCTGACTTAGCCTCAAAAAATATAGAGATAACCTGGACTTCTCCAAACTTACTTTTATCTGAGATGCCTTTTTTGTCCATCCACCATCACAACAACTTTCCAGCCTGCTCCTCCAGCTTTCCTGTCCTTACTCCTCAGCACAGCCTGGGTCCTGTCTCCGGCAGCATCTCTAAAGCTTCCTTCCCTCCTTTGCTCCTAAGCTAGGGCACCAAGTCCGTCTTTGAACATGATTGTAATCATCCGATTCCATCCTATATACCTTGTTGTCTAGAACTTTGTAGAATATATTCTGAGCATTTCAGAAAGCTTTAGACTTTTTCCTCACTCTCACAAACATGAGTATTCTTGCTATTTCCCCTGAAGATCTTTTGCTGAGGTCTTGTCTGTCTTAGTAAAGGTTGTTATTCTTTTCCAGAGTCTTCCAATTCACTCAGTCTACTTCTTTTATTTCTCCCTAGATTTTTTACCCAGAAACCACAGATATCTATGATCGGAAGAACATGCCAAGATGTATCTACTGTATCCATGCTCTCAGGTAACCAGGGATTCTTGGCAAAATAAGCCATTTAAGGATAGCTTCTCAGTCAAGGGTGAATCTTTTTTGTCGGTGGTGCAAGAATGAAAGAGGTTTTGCATCAACTTCAGGATTTTTAAATGGAATAGAAGGCTATTATCCTTACAGAAACACCTGTGTTTTTCTAGGGAGCAGAGAGAAGGGATTTGTTTATCCCCATAATATATTATTGTTGCAAAAACATGGTATAATCTTTCACTATTGACCCAATGTCTCTCTGGACTCTGCATCTTAATCAAGGTGTGGTCTCCTTTCTTCAGTCTTCTAGGCTCTTGCTATTTGTTCATTCAATAAATAATTTTTATGCCAACACAAATGTGATAGGAAATAAAGTATCATTTCATGGAAAATGACCTAATTTCAAGAATCAGCAGGGTCATGAATAGCAGGAGACAGTGCTGTGTCTGAGGGGAGGGGAGGGGAGGGGAGGGGGAGACGAGGATGGATGTACCCTGGTGGCTGGGAATGGCAGTGTAATTTTATCAGGTTCACTCCATGGCTATAGGACTAAAGGAGAAGGTTGGGGAGGAAGTGGGACTTGAAGATGAGATGTGTTTGTTTGGTTCCTCTTGCTATACGGCCTTTTGTATATATATGCTTAATCAATGCTACTGTTATGAATGAAAGGGGATATATAGCATGGGTCTATAAGAAGCCTGTTGTCTCTAGTTGACTCTAGGACCTCACACAGGCTAAGCACACATTCTGCCACCGAGCTGACCCATCTTGGGGTTTTGATGAGACTTAGGCTGGATTCTTGGTATTACCAGCATATTTTGAACATGCAGAAGATTGAACAGCTGCCTAGTGCATCTCCTGTGTTAGGAATAGAACAAATTCAAATGTGTGTGTCCGAGCCAAAACCTGGTTAATTCTCAGCACTGTGATTGGCTTAGTGTGCTGAGGTCTGTCTGTGTTGATAACCTGGCAAAGGCCATGCCTACAGTGGTCAGCTGAACTTGGCAGGCATGGAGCTGAAGTTGGCAGAATTCCCCTCTGCTCCTTCTGTAGCCTCTGATGTAGCCTGGGTCCCAAGCCCTCAGTTCTTTGAAATACCGACTAAGAATTAGCTGTGCCTTTCCAATGATGGAGTCAGGACAAAGGGAGGAAGTACACTATTGTTCTCCATTTCTCCTGCATATGTAGTCTGTGCTTAGAAAGCTCATACAGAGCAGAGTGTTCTGGCTCAGGATTTATGGTTTCTTTCCTCCCATTTGGTGTTTTTCCTGAAAGGTAAGTTGGCAACACTTGATAGTGTGTAGGAAGGGGCTGCTTACGACTCAGTACCTCAACAGCAGCTCCCAGGGCATTTGCCCACTTCACTGTTGTGGGGCACCCTTTTCCTATGCACCAGCAGTCACCCTGGAGCACCCTCTGACCTTCAAGTAGTGCTGGCGGTCTTATCCACACCTTGTCCATGCTTTGGAAGTTCCCTCTCACTGAGATCTGAGATATGCTCTCCCTCCCTCTCCCTTTACAAAGAGATTTAACTGGCATTATTCTAGAGTTACTGCACTTAGGTTATACTCAGTTATTTTGTAGGTAACATTCTATTCTCTGTTGTTTGTATGGCCTTTTTTTTCCTTTTCTCTTAATGATTTTACATTTGGAATTAGAAGGATTAGATGTTCTAGGACATCCTTGACTACATAGTCAGTTCCAGGCCAGCTAGGATGCATAGTAAGACCCTTCTCCCAGCCCCTCCCCCCAAAGCAAATTTAAACAAAACCTTACTGGTTTTGATGTTAAATAGGGTCATAATCCCTCACTTTCTATTAATAAAAGTAGGGGCTGGAGAGATGGCTCAGCAGTTAAGAACACTGACTGCTCTTCCAGAGGACTCGGGTTCAATTCCCAGCACCCACATGGCAGCTCATAACTGTCTGCAACTCCAGTTCCAGGGGATCTGAAGGCAGAACCCATCAATATGTATAAAGTAAAAATAAATAATTTTTTAAAAAAGAGGCCACTGGTGGTCTACATCTTTAATCCCAGCGCTTGGGAGGCAGAGGCAGGCAGATCTCTGTGGGTTCAAGGCCTGCCTGATCTCCAGAGTGAGTTTCAGGACAGGGAGGGCTACACAAAGGAACCCTGTACTCAAGGAGCCAAAAAAGGAAAAAAGAAAAAAAAAAAAAAATCCTTCATGTTGTGAAAATTGAGTTTAGGTTAGAATGAGTTCATTTGTTTGCAAAACCTGGTAAGAATTAATTGAGATTATCTAGATTATTTATCTATGAGTATGTTTAGAAGATTATGTGAAAAATGGTATATTAACCTGTTGTACCTTTTTAAATGATCTAAAAAACATTTTATTTTGTATGTGCACAATGGCATGACTGTCAAGGTCAGAGTTCACCTTATTGGAATCAGTTAGTTCTTCACCATGTACGTACATCCTTGGGATCAAACTCAGGTTGTCAGGCTTGATGGCAAGTGTCCATAAAGTGCACATCTGATCTCTTCTAATTCGTTGATTTTGATCTGTTTGAGTTTTGAGAATCAACCTGACAACACAGGCTTGTAGATATTTATCTCTGGAAGATTTCACTGGTGAGCTTTGTTGTCCTGTCCTTCATGGATAGAGCTGAGAATCTAGAGTCTCTTTTGTTTTGTTTTGTTTTGTTTTTGGAGATGTGACTTTGTGTAACAGCCCTGGCTGTCCTGGGACTCGTTCTGTAGACCAGGCTGGCCTTGAACTCACAGAAATCTTTTGCCTCTGCCTCCCAAGTGCTGAGATTAAAAGTATGCACCATCACTGCCTGGCTGAGTCTAGTTTTTTTAGTCTCTGAAGAGGGAACATAAGTAACATGTACTATATTTTAAACTTTTAATTGACCTGGATTAAGCCTGTGTCAGTAATAGGAATTCCATTGAAGCAAGATTTGCTGTGTGAATCATTTCCTTGAGACGTGTGTAAAAGGTCTTATTATTTAAAACTCACAAACACAAGTGAAAAGACCTCAGTACTGCTGACAGAGTGTCAGGTATATTAACCCTAACATCTAATTACACATTAACTCTGTGCCACAATTGGAACTTGAATTTGAGTCTAAGGGAAATCTTTCATGATGTTGTGTGCCACTCTCTGGGGCAGAAAGTATGCTGAGGCAGACACTGTCACAGCAGAGTGTTCCCCCCACCCCTCCCCGTATCCCCATGTCACCTTTTCATCTGAGAGCTACAGCTGTTGCTGTGCGAGGCCTCACTCTTTTGCATGTTGGTGTCTTCTAGCTTGTACCTGTTCAAACTGGGCCTGGCTCCTCAGATCCAAGACCTGTATGGAAAGGTTGACTTCACAGGTAAGGAGTTACTGAGGCTTGGCAGCAAATGAATGACTCATGTGGTAATGGCCTGGAAAGTTCAGCAATACCTGTCTTAAAGGGGAAGGCTTTAGAAAATACTCCCTGAGGAAGATGTGACAGGAGTAAGGAAACTGCCCTTCGGGTAGAAGGGAGAACATGAGCCTGGTTTGCACCCTCTGCTCTGTGATTTATGATGTGGAGTGACTGGTGAATTTAGTTCTCTTATACCTGTTTTTATATGTGAGTATCAGTTACCTGAGAGTAGTAACATCTAAAGCGTAAAATGGTGGTATGTGGAGCTAACATTAAATGCTTCCATGCTGTGAAAAAAGCCTTATAAAATGAAGTCTTTCTCTTCTAGCTGGTACGTATAAGGGAAAACTAAGGGGCAGGAGTGGAGAGTGAGGTGACCCAGAAACAACACTTATTTTAAAGTATAAGCTTGACCCAGAAACAACACTTATTTTAAAGTATAAGCTTTTTGGGTACATATTTCCTGTGTATTGTTTACTATAACAAAATACCTTATAGAGAAAAGTTTTGGAGACTGGAAATCGAGTCAGACAACCCTGTTGGTTTGGCCTCTGATGAGAGACTAATGGCCTGGTGGACTCACATACACGAGAGATTGTACTTCAAGACTAGACCCAGAGAAGTGGGTGGGTCCAGGTTTCCTCTGAGAGCTAGCTGTGAGAAGTAAAGGTCTATCAGAACAACCTTAATCCTCTCGGAGAACAGTGTGTTCAATAATCTAGGAACCTCCTACCAGACACACCTTTTAGAGGGTGCAGTACTTCTCACAACCCCACAATGTGGACCGATCCTCTCACATATGGACCCTTGTGTAAACCACATCCAAGCCATAGCATTTTGTGTATTTGCTACAGTCAGGTGCTTGAAGAGATGGAGGCTTGGGAAGGGAATGGGTAAGGGTAACATTGGTTAAGGGTAACATTCAAATCTCTCAATTGGTGACTGTTTTGTCAGCCTTGCAGTTTAAATTTGGTAGTAAAGCTTTTATCTATAATATTTTTCCTTCCAGGACACTCATTCACTAATCTCAGGAAAAGGTCAAAGTTTAGTTGTTTTCTTTATCATTTGGCTTTCTGCTTTAGAAAGGAAACAGAGTAGCAGCTAGTGATTTGGATTATGACTGAGATAACTAACAGATTGTGGTTTAGTCCTTAAGTTTCCTTTAAAGCCTCCATAGATTATTGTAGTAAATGCTGTGAGTTTTAAACAATGTTTAAAAACTTCATCCCCAGGGGCTCACATACCTTTAATCCCAGCACTCAGAGGCAGGCAGAGCTCTGGCTACAGAGCAAGTTTCAGGACAGCCAGGGCACACAGAGAAACCCATCTGGTCTGGAAAAACAAAACAAAACAAAACAAAAAACCCCTATGTCCATAGATTTTTTTTTTGTCTTATAGTTATGTTTGATGCTATAGATAACAGTGATGAGCTGATATTTATTGACAACACGTTGTCTAACAGGTACTGTACTAAGTGCTTTCATACAGTATTTTAGTATTAGCTTAATCTTTCATCAGTTAGAGGCAGAGGCCATTTTATCCCACCTTATAGTTGAGGAATCTGATCCTCCTCTGAGGTGCTTAGCTTGCTTGACTGGGTCTTCATTCTTTTCTGCAGAGGAAGAAATCAACAACATGAAGATCGAGCTAGAGAAGTATGGGATCCAGATGCCCGCCTTCAGCAAGATTGGGGGCATCCTGGCTAATGAACTCTCGGTGGATGAAGCCGCGTGTAAGGGAGCTTTTCTGGGCTCACAGGGTCTTTGCTCACTGTTGCTTACGCTGGCCCTGGGTCTCAGGCAGGAGCAGCTTTGCTAGCAAGCTTTGAGCTATAAATAGTTTTAGGCCCTGCTCTAGTCAGTGGTGCTAAAGACACTAGAAAGTGAGTCCTCACTTGAGTGCCTTTTGGGATCTTTTTCTTACAGTATTTACTACATGGTTAAGGGCAAACAGTTTTTCACACCAAACATTCTTGGCCGGGAGTGTTCAGCAAGTGCTGAGCATTCTGATGGAGGGCCTGCTGCTCTGTGCATAAGGAAGAGAAGCCACGTGGAGGCCCAGGCAGCCTCCAGTTCTGCTGTTACTTTTCTCTGGGAAAAGAGTCTTTCTCTGTAACAGCTAGCTGCAATATTGTCTGTCTGCATAGCGTGCACCCAGTACTGTCTGTAATCTCAAATGTACTGAGCTTTGATTTGCTCTGTTTGTTTTCTAGTACATGCTGCTGTCATTGCTATTAATGAAGCTGTTGACCGTAGAGTTCCAGCCGACACGTTTACAGCTCTGAAAAACCCCAATGCCATGCTTGTCAATCTTGAGGAATCCCTGGCTTCCACTTACCAGGATGTTCTTTACCAGGCCAAGCAAGACAAGACGACAAATGCCAAAAACAGGGTAAAAATGCTGCATCTTTTTAATTAACTTAAATTTAAATCTGCATCTTAAAAGCCATTTTATTGAGATGTAGCTTGTGTTTAGTACAGTTCGCCTGCTTTGAGTGTACGATTGAGTTTTGGTAGATGTGTATGTGCTCATTTAACTGTCCCTTTGTTGCCCCGGGCCATCAGTCTACCTCCCCACCCCAACTCCAGGCAGTTATCAGTCTGTTTCTCCCTTTTTGTTTTTTTGGAGACAGGCTTTTCCTGTGTGGCCATGGCGGGCCTCATTCTGTAGATCAGGCTGGCCTCAAAATCAGAAGTCTGCCTGCCTCTGCCTCCTGAGTGCTGGGATTAAAACTGTACGCCACTATACCTGGCTGACTTCCAGTCTTTTTTTCTCTATCACTACATCTTACCTTTCCTAGAATTTTGCGTGAATGTAACTGCTTAGTTCATAGTCTTCTAGTATTGCATTTCCCCCTCTCCCATTTCACACTTGTGTGTGGCCATTTCAAATCAATTTGAATAGTTTTGTTTTTGAAAGGTGATCTCCAAATATTGATATGGCCCTGGGATGAAATGTATGTTTACTATTGTTATAAATATGTGGAAGTTAGTTGGATGATTCCCTTAGTAGTTGTAGACCAGCTTGAACCACAGATGAAACCCAGTCTCAAAACAAAACAGCCGTGGTACCAAAACAGCCGTGGTACGTGCCATTGACCCTAGCACTCTGGCAGAGGTAGGTGGATCTCTGTGAGTTCAAGGCCAGCCTGGTCTACATAGTGAGCTCCAGGCCAGCCAGGGATTCATAGTGAGACTCTGCCTCAGGGCAAAAACAAGGGCCTGTGAGATGCTCAGCAAGTAAGCCACAGAAGCCTGAGGACCTAAGTTCAGTCACCAGAACTCACATTAAAGGTGAAAGCAGAGAACCGGTTCCACAGAGCTGTTCTTTGCCACATATATACACTGCCCCTACCCATCCCCCAAGCATACCCACATACAACATTAATAAATGAACAAAGGCTCCACACACGCTTACTGAGCCTTTTAAGTCAGAGATTGAAATGTTCATCGAGAGGCATTCACATGTCAAATTGAAGGTCTGTGTATATATTCTTTATGTTTCTTTACTATAGAGCAGGGAATTTGAAGCCCCAAGGTACTGAATAGTCTTGCAGGGAGGTGGTGAGGCCATGCCTCTGCCTGTATCACCAGTGAGAGGCTGCAAGCAGGCACCTGCAGAAGCCTCTGCTCTCGGGCAAGGATGCAGCTCAGCCCACTGCCCTCAGGAGGCATGGAGTCCCCCAGGGCTTCCTTCCTGGCCCAGCTCTGGAGGAACCTGGGTCTTGTGTTTTTAGGTAGAGTCGTGTAATTATATCACGTACAGATGATCTGAACTCAGGCGTGGGCTCGTTCTTGGTTTTGTCATGGTTGAGGAGAAGTACACACATAGCTTCTCTGGGCTCTTCAGAGACCTGGCTAATTTCTACCCTTTTTGTTCATCCTCAGACAGAAAATTCTGACAGAGAAAGGGATGTGTATGAGGAGCTGCTCACACAAGCTGAAATTCAAGGGAATGTAAACAAAGTCAATAGTAAGTATGACTGCGTTAGACACCTAAGAGGTACCCTAGAGCAGCCGAGTTGCTCAGTTAGGATGGGGCTTAATGTGTTGCTGTAGCTCTCAGTGGGTTGTGTAGTCTGTGCTTCACATAATCCGTGTTCCTAAGCCTGTTTCTGCTATTGCCCTCAGGCTGCAATGGCTTCCATACTCTTACCTTGTTACAAACTGAAAAATATTTTCTGTACTGTCCTATCTTTTTTTTGAGACAGGGCCAGCAAGATGGCTCAGCAGGTAAATGGTGCTTGCTGCCAAGTCTGATGATCTGAGTTTGACCCCTGGGACTCACATGATGGAAGGAGAGAACTCAGTCCCACTGGCTGTCCTCTGACCTCCACACTCACACCACGGCACAGTCACTCACACACATACACACATAAATAGATGTATAAATGGAATTTTATAAAAAGAATATTTGGGATTGGCAAGATGGCTCAGTGGGTAAAGACATTTGCTCCCAGGTCTGATGCCTCGAGTTCAGTTCCCACCTAAGACCTACTTGGTGGGAGATCAGAACTCCAGCGAGCTGTCTTCCACAGTCTTCGATGGCACACGGCCCTCCCCTCCCAGTAAACACAAAGATGTAACAGAAAGTTAAAGAAGAGCAAAGAGCTATGCAGACGATAAAGACAGGTCCTGTCATTTAGAAATATCCACTGGATGTTTCATAGCCTTCAAAATGTGCACTTAAGTAAAAACGAGATTCTATTTTTATATTGATTTTTGTGAAAGTGTGTGGTACCCAGTTTTGAGAATAGTTTCTCTGGACTGTCAGTTCATTTTGTTGTTCTTCTGCTGAAGAACCTGTGTTGGGTCATTGTAACACGTTAGACAACGGAGCATGCCGACCTGGCTGTGCAGTGTTTGGTGAATACAGCCCTCCGTAGGGACCCAGTTTTTGACTTTCTCCCAGATGCATAAAGTCCATTTCATGACTCTACTTCGTGTTCTCCCTTTCCCTGTTTTGTCCTCTCCTTCCCCTTCCCTCTGCGGGGTTTAGAACCTGGAGGGTCTTCGCTCACTAAGCACAGGTTCTGCCACTATGCTGGTGCCCCAGCCCTGCCCCCTCCCGTGGTGTGTCAGATGTGACACCTCGTCTAAACTTTACCATCTTTGCAGTCAGATGGCACTCAGGGCTCATTTGCATATTTAAGTGGTAAGTTTATGTGTAGGAAAAGCTTCACTGACTCGAGGCGTCTGTGGATGGCTGCACTGAGACTGCGAAGTGAATATTTAGAGAAAGCCTGGCTGTTAACTTCATTGTTTCATTTCTCTTATGTCCCTCCGCTGCTGTCAAAGTGCCATGAGTGTGAGGGATTTTTGTTGAGGTAAAGAAATAGAAACATGGTCGTCTTGACCTTTGGGCATGTTGTGTCTAGATTATCTGCACCCTTGCTTCATTGAGGGTCTCATGCAGGGGCTGACAGATAGGTCCCATTCCATGATCTTTTCTCTGAAAGTCTTTTCACCAGGAGATGTCTCTGTTCTTTTCCACTCTAAAGACTTTGGGCTGAAAGACTAGTAGGCTCCCCAGAATGGATGTGGATTCATAAGATGCACAAGGTTTTGATTGAGCATAGTGGTGATTGGCTTGACAGCATTCTCCCATAGAAAGCTGCCTTGAAGTGAGCTATTGAGAAGGTGGAGAATAACCATCTGGGTGCTGAGTTACTTTGGAAATCAGGGCGTGGAAGGCCACAGCCACGCTAAGGAATGAGCATGCCCCTGATATTGTTTGTTGTTATTGTTTTGTCTTTTTGAAACAGGGTCTCCCTGTGTAGCCCAGGCTGTCCTGGAACTCAGAGATCCACCTGCCTCTGCCTCCCAAGTGCTGGGATTAAAGGCGTGCGCCACCCCTGCGATCTCTAGGCTCTGAAAACCTGTCAGGGAAACATGGCCTTATCCCAGGGGCCTTTTTTCACAAAGAGGGTTGCTTTTGCTATTGCTGAGCTCTCTCAACCACCAGAAGCATTATTTATTTTTAATTTATTATTAGTAGTAACAGTAGTAGTACATGGATGTGCATGTGTAAGGGGGTCAGAGGACAATGCTGTGGAACTGGTCCTTTTCCCCACCTTTATGTGGCTCCCAGGGATTGAACTCAGGCTTGTGCTTTTATCTGCTGAGCATCTCCCCAGTTCTAAAGAGGCTCAAGCTTTCTTTATCTGTGGTGTTAAGGGTGTGGCCATGGATGTGCTGAGCAAGTGCTCTACCACTGAGTTATACCCCTAGCCAAAGGAAGGATTGTAAGAGAAGGCTCCTTTAAAACATATATTTGACCAACAATATATATGCGTGCATATACATATACACACACACATAACTGTTAAGAAATAATCTTATGCATTAGCTTTTGTTTGTATTGGTGTATATTCTAAAATTAAATTTCTTTAGTTTCACTTTAATAAAAAAGCTACCACCCCTGCTCAGGTATCACTTAATCAAATTGCAGACATAAGGAACTGATGTGAGATCACAAATCTAAAGCACCTTGTCACTCAGCCTATCTCTTACCTTTGAGTGTGAGTGTGTGTGTGTGTGTGTGTGTGTGTGTGTGTGTAATTTTAGTTGTTTTCAGTGCTGGAAGTTGAACCCAGGTTCTTACTCATACCCAGCAAGCACTCCCATTGTGCTGTGTCCCAGGCCTCACTCTGTGCCTCTGGTTTCCCCTTGCATGGTCTGGTTTATTTGAGACTTTGTCACTTTTGGGCTGCGGTCTCACTTTCTGAGAGAGCTCGTGATCTACTTCTCTCTCTAACTACTTTGTTTAATCACTCAAAGTTAAGTATTGCTATATCCCAAATATTTTAATTTTTAGTTTTATTTATTTATTTGCTTTTTGAGACAGGGTTTTTCTGTATAGCTTTGTAGACCAGGCTGGCCTCAAACTCACAAAGATCTGCCTGCCTCTGCCTTCTGAGTACTGGGCTTAAAGGCAGGCACCACCATGCCTGGCTTTTTTTTTTTTTTTTTTAAGCTGTAGTTTCTTAAATCAGAAATTGCCTTATTCTGCCTTTCAACCTAATTGATACCTTATTTACTTTACATTACATGAAGGGCTTTCATGTGTATGATTTCGTTTACTCTTAAAAGTCAGCCTGGGAGGACTGTTGAGGAATGAGAGGAAGAATGAGGGAGGGTAGACATGTAGGTGGACATGATTGATGGATATGTGAAAATGTCTCAGAGATCCCATTAGCTTACACAGAAACAGAAAACAAAACATCTTCCCAACTCAGCAAAAAACCCAAACTGCCCTATGAGCCAGGCATGGGGGTGCACACTTCAAGTCCCTTCATTCGGGAGGCTCATCAAGCCCTCAGGTTGAAGATCAGCTTGGACAACACACTGAGGCAGCCCATCCCCCATCACCTATGGGAGGCATCTCTTATCATCATTTTCTGATGAAGAAACATCTGTGTTCCCCTGTGACTGAGAGAGTATGGGGGGCACAGCCCCCTCCTCTTTGCCAGTTGAACTGCCTTTGTCCGCTTCTGACTGCTGCGTGTTGGGGACTGTCTTAGGGTCACCATTGCTGTGAGGAAACACCATGACCAAAACAACTTGGGGAGGAAAGGGTTTATTTGGCTCACACCTCCACATCATAGTTCCTCACATCACTGGAGGCAGTCAGGACAGCAACAAGGGCAGGATCCTTAGAGGCAGGAGTTAGTGCAGAGGCTCTGGAGGGGAGCTGCTTACTGGCTTGCTTTCCCCTGACCTGCTCAGGCTGCTTTCTTATAGAACCCAGGACCAGTGGCCCAGGGATGGCACCACCACCCTCCCACATCAGTCACTAATTAAGGAAACGCCTTATAGCTGGATCTTATGGAGGCATTTTCTCAATGGAGTGTCCCTCCTGTCAGATGACTCTAGCTTGAGTCAAGTTGACATAAAATGGGCCGGCACAGGAGGACAGCAGGCTAGTGAGTTCAAATGCCATGGGAGAAATGGTTGAAGGAACCATGGTAGTTAGTGAGGTGTATGTATGTTGTCACAGTAGGGGAGAGTTGGATGAATTCAGTGTGAACTCCAGGGTAAGAACTGACTCCAGACTCTTGAGCTTCTGAGCTGCAGTAATGCTAGCACTGGGCGGTTTCCGAAATTTGAAGCTGTGATTGTCTGGGGAAGAGGCAGATTCTCTAGGCTGTTGTGCAGATTGATTTTAAGCCTTTGCCTTTCCCCTCAGCATTCTCTGCCCTGGCCAACATCAACTTGGCTTTGGAGCAGGGCTGTGCACTGGCCCTGTTCAAGGCTCTACAGTCACCGGCTCTGGGCCTTCGAGGGCTGCAGACCCAGAACAGCGACTGGTACCTAAAGCAGCTCCAGAGTGACCAGCAGCAAAAGAGACAGGTGGGCATGCCGGGTGGGGTGAGGTGGGGTGGGGGGCTGCCTGGCCTTCTTGGTTCCATACTGCCCCCCCAGTTGTCTGGCCTTCACTTCAATGCTGTCTCCCCTGGCATTTACGTAGCCATTCCCTAATGTAGCTGTTTTCCTTCAAACAACTTAGGCTTGAGCTGTGTTTAATTTCAACTAGAGCACACAGTACCTAAAGCCCCATTTCACTTTGAGAACTGTGAATCCTCTTTTAAAATACATAATGCCTCCTCTTTCCTTTACCCACTCCTCCAGTCCCTCCCTCTAAGGAAAATCTTTGTAGGGACACCTGAAGTTTTTCCATTCTTACTGCAGGAAAAGCCTATGTCACTGGAGAATACTTCAGGGGCTGCAGGGTGGGTGGATCATGTGGAATTCAACTTGTAGGCTTTTTCCTGAAGAACAAATAGAAAAGTCTCCTCTTTCTTGCCCAGATAAAGACAAGTATACATCTTACAAATTCCCAGCATGCATTGGTTGGAATAAGCCACATTACTGCCCTTGTGAGTTCATAAATATTTATTCATAGAACATTTCAGTTCTTTACACACACACACACACACACACACAGGAGATAATATTCTGTACCCCAGAGTTGGCAAGGGTTTGGTTGCATGAAGCCTGGAGCTGTCACTTATGTCTCTGGTTCTCTGTTCCTTGTGACTGCTGTTAAGAGAACTTTCAGCCCTAGAGGTCAATGCATGAACAATCATCTCATCAATGTCCCCTGCTTTCCAGAGTGGCCAGACTGACCCGCTGCAGAAGGAGGAGGTACAGGCCGGAGTGGATGCTGCCAACAGCGCTGCCCAGCAATATCAACGAAGTAAGAGTCCCTTAGCCCCAGGCCACAGAAATTTCAGGGGGAGGAAGGCTGTGGCTCTTTCATTTAAAGGTCTGAAGTATGTCACCTCATACCTACTAGTCATGATGAAAAGCCAAGCCCTTTTGGTGGCAATAGGGTTCTTCTAGCTTTAAAAGCAGAACCGGAGTCCAGGCAGATTGACTATGGTTAATAAACCCTTTGTGGGTAGTTAGGGAAGTACCTGGAGAAGGCAACATTTAGAGGGTAGAGATTTGGGCTATGGAAGAGGAGAGAGCATTCCTGATTGTAGCAGGAAGAAAAGAAAAGGAGTAGGGGCAGACAGTGTCAACAGGGATGGGTGAGTTTAGAGCAGCAGCTGCTGTGAGTGAATTCTCGTGCTTGTGGGCCGAGTGGGAAGCTGGCAAGCTGGGAAGGGCAGCCTCATTAGAAGGCTCCTGGGGAAGGAAGAAGGACTTAGTGCAGCCACAGCACACACGATGACGACAGCAGACAGGAAATGGGGGTGAAGAGAGAAGTGGTTTTATTCCAGTGCTAGGTGCCAGCACATGTCAGGGTAGCAGAAGGGAGGGCAGAGGTGTCAGCTGTGAAGTGATGGGGGGCAGACCTCGGGCTGAGTAAGCACAGCACAGTGCACACCATGCTCCGTCCTACAGTGCCCCTTTCTCTGGGCTGTATTGTTCCCGGCCAGGCACTAGAAGCAGGTTTCATCCCTTGTGACAGGAGGGATGCAGGGGGACAAAGGGCGCAGTCCAGGCCCCGAGGCCCTCTTCTGGAGCGCAGGGGGGCTGGAGTCAGCCCTGCACAGGAGCAGCTCTGGGGAGCCAAAGGTGCAGGCAGCCCTCAGATGAACTAGTCTTCAAAGCTGTAGGGGTTTGGCCTTCTTGGGGTAAGGAAGAGGACACTGGGAGGAACTGCCCCAGCAGTGGGGCAGAGTTCCCCTGACTTGCCCTGCTATATGAGTTCTATACAGCAGATAAAGAAAGGCACTGTCTGCAAACAGACAAGGCTCTCACATAAAGTGTGGCAGAGGTGCCAGCCGATAGCTTAACAGACACCCAGGTAGGTAGCGGTAACCATTGGTATGTAGGTAAGCAGGTCCTTAATGCCTGGAGCATGGAGGACAGAATCAGCCTGCAGGAAACTCAAGCATTAGTGTGAAGACATCTTTGTAAACACATATGTCCCCGTGCCTGTCACCTCACCCTCAACCACAGTCCAGACAGTGCTAGCCTGGTGTAGGTCTGCTTGAGATTAGATGCCAGGTAAATCGGCACCAGGTAAATCAGCGCCAGCTGGCACAGGGTACCCAGCATGATAGGCTGCCTGCCGGACTGTACAGCTTCCTATGCTGCCTGGGGGCTCTACACATTAGAGTTAGGGGTGGACCCTTGCTCATGGTCCAGCCCATAGGCTCAGATTTGGGTCAACAAGGGTCCTTATATTGGGTGACTTGAATATGTGGGTGCTTGGCTCCCCAGATCATGAGCTCAGTCACAGGCTTGGTACAGCTCTTAATACCAGCAAGAGATCTGGGTGGCCTCTGCCACCAGGAACTCAGTGGTAAAGGCATTCTTTGACCTTCTGCATTCAGAGTGGTCTCAGCTTTGGGTATCCCTGCTCTTCTCCCATTGGGAGCCCATGCCCTTGCTGGTGCCCCACCCCCAGTACAGGGCTGCTGCTGCTACCATCTCCAATGAGAGTTCCACTTCAAGCATAATGGCTGATACTGTAGGCATAGAATGGAACTTCATTCTGTAAAAGTTGGTACCTCCTAGCCAGATTCAGTGGCCTATACCTATAATTAATTCCAGCAGCTCCTGAGGCAGGAGAATATGAGTAAAGTCAGACTAGAGCTACATAGTGAACCTTTTTTTTTTTTTGTAATGGGAGTATGGGGTACTGGAGATGGTTCAACAAGTCAAACATTTGCTGTTGGAACATGGGGACCAGGATTCTGATCCCCAGGATCTGTGTTAAAGCCCTGTGGACTTGGCAGTTGCCTTGTAACCCCAGTGCATGGATAGCCAGACTAACTTGAAACTATTAGACTCCAGGTCCAGCAGAGACCCTGGCTCAGTATGTAAGGTAGACAGTGATCAAGACACTTAGCATCAACTTAAGGCCTCCCACATGCCATGTCACATATAGACATATACTCCACACAAAAATTAAAGCAAATCGTGAAGGCTTTGAAGGGTGTGTGTGATGCTACTGGCCCAGGGGTTAAGCACACTTACCACTCTGTAGAGGACCAGGTTTTGTTCCCAGCATTCCTATGATGGTTCACAGCCATCTGTAACTCCAGTTCTAGGGTATCTGACACCCACTTCTGGTCTTCCTGGATACCAAACACATGCAGTATACATACTTACATGCAACCAAAACATATTACACAATACACACACACACACACACACACACACACACACACACAAGTAGCTGGCCATGGTAGCACACTCACTTAATCCTAGCACTTGGGAGCCAGAGGCAGAGGCAGGTGGACCTCTTTGAGTTCAAGGCCAGGGGAGTTTCAGGGCGGCCAGAACTACATAGTGAGACCCTATCTCAAAAAACAAAACAAGGCACTGTTTCTGCACAGGGCTCTGAGCCCACTGCATGTTGACCTGCTTTCTGCCAGGATTGGCAGCGGTAGCAGCAATCAATGCCGCGATCCAGAAGGGCATCGCCGAGAAGACGGTTTTGGAGCTAATGAATCCTGAAGCCCAGCTGCCCCAGGTGTATCCATTTGCAGCCGATCTTTATCAGAAGGAGTTGGCTACTCTGCAGCAGCAGAGTCCTGAAGTAAGTTAACTGAGCCTGTTCTTTTGGGAGCAGAATGTGGTGGGAGTGAATTTAATACCCACATCTCCGTGTGCTTGGGTAGAAGCATTCTTCAGAAACTCGGGTTTTCGTGTAGAAGTTCCAATTCCCTTGGTATTGGAAATTGTCTTTCCTCACTGTTCCCCCCCCTCCCCCCCTGTACAGCACAGCCTCACCCATCCTGAACTCACTGTCGCTGTGGAGATGCTATCATCTGTGGCCCTCATCAACAGGGCTCTGGAGTCAGGAGACATGAACACGGTGTGGAAGCAGCTGAGCAGCACGGTCACGGGCCTTACCAATATCGAGGAAGAAAACTGTCAAAGGTGGGACCCCAGAGCATGCACTGTGGGTCCATCGCATGACGTTTTCCTTCCAGGCTTTATGTCTTCATAATGTGCTGTCATTACATCACAGCATTCTGTTTGTTGGTGCTGGGTTTGGAACCTTCGCCTCATACATACTGAGGCCAGTGCTCTGCCACTGTGCGGCCTGCAGCTTGGCCCTCTTGTCTGTCTTTAGATGAGTCCCCTGCTTCTACAGCTGGTCTTCTAGAAATAGAGACCAAGTGCTTTCCTTGGATGTTTATGTTTTAAGGCTGCTTTGCAGTTCCAGAACTTTCCCATGGCTTATATCAGACATTTCCGGTCTTCTAGAGACCTTTGTTCCTTGAATAATCATTCTAAAGGGTTTTTTTGTTTTTGTTTTAATTTTGGGCTGGGACAGGTATCTCGATGAGCTGATGAAGCTGAAAGCTCAGGCACATGCAGAGAATAATGAATTCATTACCTGGAATGACATCCAGGCTTGTGTGGACCATGTGAACCTGGTGGTGCATGAGGAACATGAGCGTGAGTAATCATCATGTCCCCTCAGAAAAGTTTCCCGTTAAAGTTGACATGATTCGGGCTGGGAAGATGGCTGAGTCAGCAAAGTGCCTGTCCGTAAGCGTGAAGTCATGAGTTCAGATCCCTAGCACCCATGTAAAAATTGGGGTGCTGGTGTTCATCTGTAGATCCAATACTGGGGAGGAGGGAGGCAGAGACAAGAGGCTCCCTGGGTACCCATTACCAGCCAACCTAGTGTTTAGGGGAAATACCTGATAGCAACCTCTGACCTCTAAATGCATGTCCACATACCTGTACATGCACCCTCACAGGCAACTGGCACAGATTCATGGTACACACATAAACATGTACATACATCACATGAACTGGTTCTAAATATCACTCCAAGGCTTTCAAATGAATTGAAATATATATACACACACATACACTCACAAACCCCTCAAATAACTATGGTTGGGTACTGTTTTCAGTACACCAGACAGTTATAATAATTGGGTATGTGTCTTTAAATAGATTTTTTTGGGGGGGGGTGTATTTACAGAGTATATTATAGCTGTAAGAGATAGCTATAACAAGTGATTCTAACAAGCTACAATTGTGTCAGCTAGCACAGGTTGAGGGCACTGTCCCCCACAGGACCCCTTCTGGTCAGACATCAGTGGCAAGCTCAAGCTAGGTCTCACTTCTGAACAACTAGCTACAAAGATGAGGCTTAATGGTTTTCTAGAATGGCTCTTAAGAACTCAGGATCATGCTAGACTTAGGATTACAGTTTGAGTATAAAGGTTATAAATCAGGAGGCAAAAGTAGAGAGCCAGGGTCTGTGTCTGGGAGGGTTCTTCTGTGGCCTCAGGATGTGTGGCCCTCAAGTTATCATCACTGAGCAGGGAACCTCTCCTGAGCCTTTGGAATCCAGAATTGACTTCATTACCTACACACAATTGGCTGAGTTATTGGCCATGGATCTGGTAATCAGGAAGCCTGGCCAACACTACATGACTTCAAACCATGTCATATCTGGCACAGCCAGCTGCATCCTGACACTACCCTGAGGCTCACCATAGGATGGCTTCTTTGGCACACCTTTAAGTGTGGTGGGAGGTGCTGCTGTAAAAGACAGGTGCTGTGTCCTTCAGGACATTTCAGGCTTCCTCTCAGAAACCAGGAGCAGAAACCAGCCAAATGCCACAGCCCACAGCAGAATTCTCATGTGAGAAACGCTCTCAAGTGATTTGTGGGAAGGCCTGAAATAGGCAGTTCCGGGCTTGGATCTTCCATCTGCCTCTGATTTGTTGTGTAATCCTAGGGAGGAGGTACTCAGGCCTCCTGTTTCATTCAGTGGAAATGATGAATGACTTCAATTGCACATCTGAATGTTTCTGAAAGCTGTGAAGCCAGTTTGATTGACCCTCTTCATTTCCTCAGCAGGGAGGCCTGGGCAGGGTTACAGCCAGCCTGGGCTTCACAGTGAGACTGAAACAAAAGCAAAATCCTGACCACTTAAGTTAATGCATTGAAAATAAAACAAAAGGACCCAAGCTTCCTGTAGGAATGGATAGGATGAGGGAGTTTAGATGAAATAAAAACTAAGTTACTTTTTGATATACAGCACTGCTCAATTGTACTTTGAGTCATGATTACTCTTAGTGAGTTCATAGAGTTAGCACCGATTCTTGCTGGTCTTGAACTTGTGGCCACACGATTCCAACCTCCGAGCAGCTGGGACCATAGGACTGATTGGTTTCCAGATTTCTTAGCTAAAGACTTTTTTCTCTGTGCTTAGGGATTTTGGCCATCGGTTTAATTAATGAAGCCCTGGATGAAGGCGATGCTCAGAAGACCCTGCAGGCCTTGCAGATTCCTGCAGCAAAGCTCGAAGGGGTCCTTGCAGAAGTGGCACAGCATTACCAAGACACGCTGATCAGAGCAAAGAGAGAAAAGGCCCAGGTGAGCAGCATGGGCCCTGCTCTGACTGGGAGCAAAGGTGGAGTAGCCTTGTCACCCTTGTCTCATCATGGGCCACTGGAGAGACTCCCAAGAGACAAACACTTCTCCACCTTCTGGGAACTCATGGTATTCCTCTCTTGTAGATGTCTTTTTAGCAAAAAATCTTTTTAAAATTAAATGTAATGTTCTTCATTAGCTTCCAGAATGGCAGGTTTCTTCATGGCAGTTTCAGAAACAGGTAGTTTTGTTTGGCTCTCTTTCACACTTCTACCCCACCTTTCCTTGCTGATATCTGTTCAGATTAATTGAAGTATAAGATCCTGAAAAAGTCAAGTCATATGAAGTATTCGGTTGTATAAACTTTTAGAAGTGATTGTGCCAGTGTGATCGACATTCAGATTACATAGCAAGAGTTATCAGCACCCCAAAACTCCCACTCATGTCTCCTCCTGTCCATACCCACCCACTTCCCATTTGGTGGTCCCTACTATCCCAATTTCAGACACCATGATTGACTTTTGACCTATATTTAAGTGCATTCATACATAGTGTGTGCCTCTGTTTCAGGCTTCTTTTGTCTAGCATGTTAGTGACATTCATCCACATGACCATTGTTGTGTATGATCTTATCGTCTGATTATTTTCTGTTACTGGGAGTTCTGGATTTCTACTGCTTGACTTATTGGAAGGTCCTCCTATAAGAATTCTAATACGTGCTTTTTGGTAAATAGAAGCGTATGGGTGGTGCAGCTCTGTGGTGGAGTGCTTGCTTAGCATGTATGAGGCCATGCATTTGCTCCCCAACATCTCAAAAACAACCAAAGCAAACCAGTAAATTAAGGACAGCCATTAGTGGGTCAGAGGAAGTTCATAGAAGTTAAACTTTAGTGAAGAATGCCTTAATGTTTGCTTTATAATACATTCATTGAAATATAACTCACATACTATATAACTCAGCATTCTAAAATATGCCAGTGGTTTCCAATACAATCATAGAATTGTGAAACTCTGTCACTTTTAGAATATTCTCATCATTGCCAGAAGAAGCCCTGTACCTGTTAGTGGTCCCTCATTATCGCTCAGTCTCCCCCTGTAATGCGCAGCCATCAGTCTCCTGCTCTGTGGATTTTTATATCCAGAACACTTCATATAAATAGAATCATGTGCTATAGTGACTTTTGTGACTGGCTTCATTTAACTTCATTTATCTAAACTCAGTGGAGTTTAAAGCATTTCATTCTGCAAAGTTCATCAAGAGTAGGAGAAAGGTCCAGGTGTGGTGGTGCATACCTTTAATCCCAGTGCACAGGAGGCAGGCAAATTTCTATGAGTTCAAGGCCACCCTGGTCTACAAAGCAAGTTTCAGAGCAGCCAGGACTACACAGAAAAACCCTGTGTCACTCCCACCCTCCAAAAAAGTAAGAGAAAGTGAGAGAGAGAGGGAGCCTTGGGGAACATTACTAGCCCAAGCGGGTAAACTGTGCTTTGGGTAGAATTGTCTTTTTTAGGCATCTGTTTAGCTTCCAAGTTCTACAAGCCATCTAGGGAATAGTTTTAAAAATATAATTATCATAGACTTCTAAATTTAGCAAGCCCAAGATCGTGATTTAAATTTAGCCTGTAGCTGGGTGGGGTGGCACATGCTTGGAATCGCAGTTCTGAGGAGGTGGAAGCAGGAATCAGGAACTCATGGTTGTCCTCATTCAGCTACATGTGAGTTCTAGGCCAGCCTGGGCTACATGGACACTGTCTCAAAAATAACAATAACAATAAATACTATTAGTGTGTGGTCCTCCTGGGGGTGTCTTTGTGTCTGTCATGATCATGGGTTAACACTGCCCTACAGACTTAGAAAAGTTTCTAACAGATCAGCATACCCTTTAAACACAGGTTTTGTTGTGGTGTATCCCTTGCTTGGTGCCTGCCTGCAAGTGTTCCTCTTCTGTCAAGGAACTGGGTTGGTTAGACCTAACCTGATGGACTGTTCACATCTTTAGGCTTTGCCTTCATCCTCTTTTCTTGTTAGTTTTCTGACTAGACTGTTACCCCTTCTGCACACTTGACTCTCCAATAAGTCTGTGTTTCCAATTTCAGTTTTCGTACGTTTCTTTCAGCCCCAGAATCTCCATTTTGGTGTGTTTGAGAATGTGCTTTCTCTTTGTAGATGCAGTCTGGTAATGCTCTCACACTTTAGTTCTAGACAAGATCCCCATTAGTTCTTTGAACTCAGATAAAATATCTGACCCGAGTCATTGTCCACAAGTTCAACATGAGGCTTTTTAGCAGTCTGTCTTGTCCTGTGGGGTGTTTTGCTGCTGTGGTTGGGGTTTTCTGTTTGGTTTTGTATATGTTCTTTCTGGTCTCTTTGCAGATCTTTTTGTTGTTGTTCTTGCTGTTTTCTCTTGATGGTTTTTAATTTTCACATTTTTAAGGATAATGTGGTAATTCCAAAAACCAGATTCCTGTCTTCCATAAATCACTTGTTTAGGGTTTTAGGGGTTTTGTTTTGTTGAGGCAGGGTCTTGCTTCAGTTTCCTGAGGTGCAGCTGGTCAGTGACTTTTGTGAATTGTGTGAAGTGTCTTTGTCATGTCTATGCACTAAAACTAGAATCTCCCTAATCAGCTAGTGATTTGCTAACAATTACACAGGGTTCCTTGAATCTGAGGAGCCGCTGAAGCCTCCCCACCCTGCTGAGGGCCCTTTGTGCCCTTTGTGCTCCGCCCAGTAGGCAATGCACAGCTGTGTGCCTTTCACTTTAAGCTTGGTCAGACTCCCAAAGGCAGCCTGTAGTGAGACACCCACCCTGCCTGCACCTGTTACACTGACCACGCCCATTGGGGCGTGGGGACAGGTGGCCAGGACCTGTGGGGCCTAGGTCTGGGGGCCAGGTCTGGGGGCCGGACCCCAGCTCCCTCTCTTACTTCCTGGTCGGAGACAAAGAGCATGGGTGGGTGGGGCCATCCTTGGAGCAGGAACCTTGGCAGTCATCTCTTTCTGGTGTAAGTGATTTCTCCCCAAATAAACATCCATCAGCTTAAATTGTGTCCCAGAATCTTATTTCCTACACAATAGCAGCCCTCTAAGGTAAGGGCTTAGAGCTTTAGCAGAGGACACCATGTTTGTCTGTACAATGCTTGCACTGGAATTATAATTTGCACACCATAAAATTCATCAATTTAAAATGTGTGTCAGTGTTTTCCACTATATTCATAGAATTGTGCAACTCTCACAATCACTTTTAGAAGTTCAGATCATCCCCACATATACTGTGTGTGGCCTCCTAGATTCCCATCACAGGAATATGCCACATTTTCAAAGCTTTCTTTAAATATCCATTCTCTAGATTTTCCTCCCAAGTTTTCTGGTTAGTGTTGTGTTTTGTTTTTTTCCCAGACTGTTGTCTATCGTCCTACCATCAGTGATGCTAAACAGCTAGGTAAGCCCCTGGTCAGGTCAAATGAGGACAAGAGCAAGCAAGCGTGAGCACAACTTCACGTTCTCACTCAGTGAGATTCTGCCTTTGTGCCGGCTCTGATTGTTCGTCTCATCAGTTTGGAAAAGCATACTCTCACCAATTTTGGCCAGCATTTTGTTGCATTTGTGATAAGATTTCTCAGCGGTCCATAGTCTGCCATTTTTTATCAGTGCTGTTTCTTTGTTCCTTTATCTGACTAAAAATAAATTAGCAGTCCCTGGGTAGTGGAGTCTAAATGCCGAGAGTGACTTTAAAATCTCTCTTCCCATCTACACTCATGTGCTTGCATGTATGCCCGTATGTACTGGCGGGTAGTCACAAGCCTGTGGCTGACTCATTGCGGCTTCACACTGAAGTTGATGTTTAGCATTTCCAGACCTTAGGTTGAGGACTGGGGGATTGTGTGTGGTCATCTCTTGTTTAATATGTGTGACACGAAAGCAGAAGGAAGGGGTATTTGAAGGGAGATAGGAGACCAGCAAGAAGGAACCAGGGAGGGGGGGTGAAAAAAACCAAAATGATGTATGCATTAAAATGCCATACTGACACCTTTGTATGGTATCTTAAAAATTAAACTGTAACAGGGAAACAAGCCACTTCTACTCCATCACCTCTGTCACCAGAAGTCAACTCAGGCTGCACAGGTTTTGCTGGCTGGCTGTTCTCCATTTGTTATGATGATTTTATATGGAAATGTGATTTTAGTTTCCAGCAACCGATTTAAAACAGATTTAAACTCTAAGCAGGATGTGGTGGCGCACACCTTTAATCCCAGTACCTGGGAAGCAGAGGCCAGAGAGGCAGAGGCAGGTGCATCCCTGAGTTTGAGGATAGCCTGGTCTTCATAGCAAGTTCCAAGACAGCCAGTCTATGTAGAGAGACTCTTTCTCAAAACAAAACAAAACAAAACAAAACAAAACAAAACAAAAACCAAGCAAACAAAAAGAACAATAACAGAAAAAACCCTTGAAACAGAAAGTTGTAGACTTGGTGTGGTGACACTCCAGGCTTTAAATATAAAAGGACAGTCTTGAAAGCTTTAGTTGTAGTGGAGAACTCAAGCTGCCGCTGTGTGTCAAGGGCAAAGGAGGCTTTCTGCACTTCATATGCACGTTCTGGCCTTTGTCATACTGTGGAGGCCCTGGATCCCTTCCTGGTGTATCTGCTTCTGCTCCCTCTGCTGCTGTCAGCTTCCTAAACGGCTTAATTCGTCTTCATTCATCCTGTGCTTGCATCTGAGCCCTTTCTCGTTTAGTTTAGGGCAGGGTTTTTGATGCCTGGCCTTTCCTATTCAATTAATCCACAGTTCATATGTAGAGCTGCTTCTTCTGTAGCCAAATCCCAGAAGGCCCTCATCACACATACCCTGACATCATGGCTCTATTATTGTTTTGCTTTAATCATATGTAGGAAACCCAGGATGAGTCAGCTGTATTATGGTTGGATGAAATTCAAGGTGGAATCTGGCAATCCAACAAAGATACCCAAGAAGCTCAGAGGTGTAAGTATCCATGTGTCTGTTGTTTTGTTTATGTTTGGGTTGGGGGTGAGAGTGACAAGCCTTTGGTCTGGTGGGTAGCAGGATGGAGACTAGTAGGTATGGTTGGATGAAGTCATGTGAATATAGACCCTTTCTAAACTGCTACATTAATAATCTTCTTGTGAAACAGTTGCCTTAGGAATCTTTGCCATCAATGAAGCTGTGGACAGTGGTGATGTTGGCAGAACATTGAGTGCCCTTCGTTCCCCGGATGTTGGCTTATATGGAGTCATCCCTGAATGTGGGGAGACATATCAGAGTGACCTTGCTGAAGCCAAGAAGAAAAGACTGGCAGCAGGTGAGTTGTGGGGGAGTAAATACATCCATGAGCATGTGAGGAGACAGATGTAGAGGAAAGGGACAAATGTAAGGAAAGATACTTTAGTGTGGGTGTACAGTCTTCAGGCTTACTTTTCAGGAAATATTCATAAGTTCTGAACGCGTGCAGACAACTGTGTTAACTAGACAATTTTATGAGCATTTGGAAAAGGTCGAGAGGCTTGACTGTTTGCCTTTCCTACCATGCCGTATCTCTGATTATCTGAGGATGGTTAAAAGTTCAGAGCAGAGACCATTCTGTAGCTTCCTCTTTCCTGAACTGTAATGCTGAGTGGCCGCCATCGTTTTCATGACATGCTGGTCTTGAAAGAAAGGATTGGTGTGGCTGATTCTGTGGTGGGGCCGCCTAGGTATTTCCTTTTTGTAGTACACTGACATAGATGGCATAAACGAGACAAGACTTAGCTGAGGTTTTGTGGACACATGACAGGCCCCTTTACTGTCAGATCCAAGGAATGGGTCAAAAATGAATGTCTAGGCTGTCCCAGCTGACTGGAGTTAAGTCCTCTGGGTTGGATATATCAGTATGGGAGTGTGGCTCTGGGTTGTCTCACTTCCCCTCATTCCCTGCCAGGAGACAACAACAGCACATGGGTGAAACACTGGGTGAAAGGCGGGTACTACTACTACCACAATCTGGAGACACAAGGCGGAGGATGGGATGAACCCCCAGACTTTGTGCAGAACTCTGTGCAGCTGTCTCGAGAGGAGATCCAGGTAGGCCACCTTCCTTCACACAAGAAGGGTCTGAGAGAAAGTGCTTCAGGCTACTATTGATTAGTTCAGAAGAGCAACACTGTGGCTGGTAGTCCTGGACTCAAATGTAGGCCGTGTAACGGATTATTTTGGAGTAATCGTGTTTTAGTGGTTTGAGAGATGACGAAGTCTAAATTTGAAAACATCTGCGTTGCACAATCCAGTGAGCCACACGATATGGTTATTAAAGAAAAGGCCGCGATGGGGCCCTAGCACGGTGTGGTCATGGGAATGTTAGGGGAAAGTTTAATTCTGTCCTGGAGGAAGGCGGCCTAAGTGACATTGTGACCGACCAGTGAGTAAGAGAGGAAAGAATGTGCTAGATAGAAAGTATATAGTGAGGAAAGTCACTGAGGATGGAAAAACCAGGACGGTGTGAGGAAAGATCCACATGCTGCTGGCTGCCTGACAGGTGTAGCTGGAGCCAGTGAGGCAGTGAGGGAGGGGGAGGGGACCAGTGCTGCACTGAGGAATGGAGGCTGCACTAGTGCTCTCTAACCTCAGAGTCTCCCTCCCTCCATAGGCCCAGCCAGGCTCCCAGTGCTTTGCACGTGAGCCCAGCATCACAAGGGGGTGGGGTTCCCTTACTTTTAGCACATGATCTAATCTCCTACTCCTACAAAAACTGGCTGGCAAGTTACGCTGCTCGCTGCTCATTACGCTGCTCGTTCTCCGCTCTGCACTTCTCATCTCACTGGTTGTCCATTCGCTCTTTCGAGCGCCCTCAGGAGGGACGTCTCGCTTTCTAGAGTTCACTTCTGTTATAGCCTAATGTCTCTTGCCTTCCTCCCTGGTTCCTGCAAGTCTTGACTCCTCGTATTTTCCATTATTTATACTTGTCTGAATTTAAAGCGCAGGGTGTGGAGATTGATTGATCTGTGGGTCTAAGGCAGAGTCTGGGAGCCCACATTCCTAACCAGTTTCCAGGCAGTGCAGTTGCTGCTGCTCTAAGGACTGTGTTTCTAAGTATCGGCCCACATGCAGATCCTGTCTTCCTTACCCAAAAAACAAAGAAAAAGGGGCCTTGTCAAGTGCCTTTAGGAAGTCTCTGTGAAACCCTCAGTCCATCTCCGTGCAGCTGTCTCCGGATCTCCTGCTTCTCGTGCCCTTTCATAGTCTCTTGCTGCCTTTCTCTGCTTCTGCCTGATTCGGCTGTCAGCCCTCCATAACTCCCTCTCCCTACAGAGCTTGTAAGCAAGTAAGAGAGGATGCTGTCAGGCATAAGTGATGACGCAGTGACGACTTTAATCAAGCCTGTGGCTCCAACTCCTTCCTTTGAGATGTGACCTGAGATCTATCTGTTCCTCCACATCTTAGCCCTTTCCCACACCGTCAGGCCTCCCTTGCATCTAGAAACCCAGATATCTCAGGCACAGCTTGACAGAGAACAGAAACGGAAATGATGTATAAGGGGGTTTGTTGCCTTTTGTTTGGTTTTTGCTCCTCTCACAGAAGGTAATTCTGGACTTCAACCATTTAGGGGACGCGGCGACTCCATGACCGCATAGTTACAGGAGCCTTCAGTCTTCATGCTCTGGCATTCTTAGAACATTCTCAAGGCCATCCCCAGAGACAGCTTGGACTGATAACCATCAAAGTAGCTGTCCAGGCAGAAAGCAGAGGACAAGCAGTAGGGCATGTTCTCAGCTCTCCCTCGTGAGCATTCCCAAAGCGCTGAGCTCACTGTGTTTTTGGTGCATGTGTTAGGGTCCAGAAAAAAAGCCCAATACTAAGGAAAGAAAGGAAGGGCATATTCATAGGTAATCAAATAAGTGGATATTCTTAAACATCTCATGGCTGCTGCCTCATTCAAGCCCAGGGCCTCTTACTGGGATCACAATAATTGAGTTCTAATTCACTTCATTTGCACTTAACTTCAAAATTCTTTTCCAGCATGCTGAGGGAGGGGCACATGCTCACACACACGAATACACACCTATAATCCCGGTACTTGGGAATCTGAAGCAGGATGAAATGAGTTAAAGGCCAACTCAGGCTACATACCAAGACCAGGTCTCAAAAGCAAAATAAAAAGAACTAGAGGTAGGAGGTTGTTGGCAGCACAAGTCAACACAGCTCTCCTCTGGGCAGCTAGCTGTTCTGCCAACGGTGCCATTTTTTTTTTTTTTTCCTAAAAATAAATCTGATCATTTTGATTTTGTTCCTCTGTTAAAAGTTTTCTGTTGTTTCCGTCACCTGTAGTAATTAATAGTCCATGAACGTAGAATACCCCCCCCCCACAAACCACATACACACTTCACAGTGTTTGGGGGGGGTAGTATTCTAAGTTCTTCACTAGCATCTTGTTCCAGTGGAGATAGAGTCATGGGCACAGGAATAAGGAATGAATTAAAGACCTAGACTTTAATATTTAATTACTAATTAACAAGTCAGCCTGGCCCTGGACACCATACCTGGGGTTTTAACACCCAATTACTCAACTCAAGATTGGGAACCATTGAGGGAGAGTGAAGATAGCTTGTGTGCTCTAGGTGATGCTTTGCCCCTAAATGTGACCAAATGCTTTTCCAGAGCTCCATCTCTGGAGTGACTGCTGCATATAACCGAGAGCAGCTTTGGCTGGCTAACGAAGGCTTGATCACCAAGCTGCAAGCCTGCTGCCGTGGCTACCTTGTTCGACAGGAATTTCGATCCCGGATGAACTTTCTGAAGAAACAGATCCCCGCCATCACCTGCATTCAGGTACTTCACACAGTGAGCAGGCCTCCCAAACAGGAGGAATAAACTGTCAGGCTATAAAGCTGAATGTGTGAGTGTGTTTCTTGTGACCTCTTTTCTCATCTTTGAATGGTTACGTCCTGTTTGTGAAATTATGATCGTTGTGCTTAATGGTGGTGGCAAGAGGCATAAGGGAGCACCGCTCATGTTTTCTTTCACCGTGTCTGTGGGCAATGTTTGCACCCCTAGAGAAATAACAGTGATGATATTATAGTCACAAATAAAGCAATAGTGCTTCAGTGACAATAGCAGAAAAAAATTAATTAGGAATTTTGACCCCATTGCTGCGCCATGGGTCTCTTTAAGTTTTCTTATCTGTGACATGAGTGTGTTAATGTGAATCTCCCTTGCCTGATAACAGTGAGGATGACAAATTGGTGTGCTGCGTTTTAAGATGGTGACAAGTGTGGCCTGGGAGTACAGCTCAGTGGTAGAGTGCTTACAGAGTGTACACAAGGCCATAGATTGGGTCCCTAGCACCAAAGCCCCAAACAAAGCTATTTGTAGTGTTCCAGTGATGCCGGAAAAGAAGTGTTCTCCAGGTGGATGCACGGTCTGTGCCTGCGGAGGTGCTTCCTCCTACAGCTTCGCCAGGAAGTCGTGCTTGGAGAATAGCAAGCTGCGGTCGTTTCTTTTTTTTAACTCTCCCTGATTCTTTGAAAATAATGCCACATATACTATATGATACTTTTAGTCACAGTGGAGAGGATACAAGCAGAAGAAGGCATATCAAGATCGACTGGCTTACCTGCGCTCCCATAAGGATGAAGTTGTGAAGGTACGGTAGCCCAGCAGGGTTCGTCCATGTGGGGCGCAGGTGTGATGTGTTGAGAAGGCCTCCTCTAAGTTCCAGGACCCCTTTTCCACAGATTCAGTCCCTTGCCAGGATGCATCAAGCAAGAAAGCGCTATAGAGATCGCCTGCAGTATTTCCGAGATCACGTGAGTATCCCTGGGTGCAGCAGGTTGGTCAGGAGGATTCTTCCATGTGCCTGGTGGACAAATGAATAAAGAATCTCCTCTTTGTTCCTTAGATAAATGACATTATCAAAATCCAGGCTTTCATTCGGGCAAACAAAGCTCGTGATGACTACAAGACTCTCAGTGAGTAACCATGGCTCAGCAGTGAAGAGTTGAGGCAGTGCTTGGGAGCCCTCAGGTCCTGGGCACTCTCCACGGAGCTCTTTGGTTGTCCTGAAGGCAAGGCTTGGGGGAAGGGTGCCACTTGTGATTAAGCCCTTTTGCTAACATGTGGCTAGACGTTTTGCTGCTTGCCGATGTAGCCCCTGTGGTAACACAGCAATAACACAACTCAGGAACTGCACTTGGTAGTTGTCTCAGCACATCTCAAACCTAAGTGTTAATATCCCATGTGTCACTAGAGCTTTAAGACTATGCTAATCCTTCCTCAGACCTAGAGTGTTTTCTGGTAACTTGGGTCTTTGTCTGATTCATATTTTCTTTGTCAGTCAATGCTGAGGATCCGCCTATGATTGTGGTCCGAAAGTTTGTCCACCTCCTGGACCAAAGTGACCAGGACTTTCAGGAGGAACTCGATCTTATGAAGATGCGGGAGGAGGTCATCACCCTTATCCGTTCTAACCAGCAGCTGGAGAATGACCTCAATCTCATGGATATCAAAATCGGACTACTAGTGAAGAACAAGATCACACTGCAGGTACAGCTGGCTGCCTGGGACCAGCATGGGGGCCTGTGCTGCTCTTGGGTCCTGCCTTTCTCTTCCTAACAGGAGGCCTTTTTAAAGACTGTCTGTCTGTTTATTCATCTTAGGCAGTATGTCAAACCCAACCAGGGCTTCACACATGCCAGCCCTCCCTACCACCACCACCAAATTTAAATTTTTTTTTTTTGTAAATTTTATTTTATGACAATATTTCAATAAGTTGTCCAGATTGTATTCAATCAACCTTGTAAACTTTGTTTGTTTATGTGACAGGGTTTCTCTGTATGGCCCTGGATGTCCTGGAACTCACACTATAGACCATGCTGGCGTCAAACTCAGAATGTTGGGATTGGAGGTTTGCGCCACTACTGCCCAGCTTCAACCTTGTAATCTTTTGCCTTGGTAGCTTGAGTATTTAGGATTACAGGAGTTAGTATGTTTATGTGTTGTGATGGTAGGGTTAAACCAGGATATTAGGCATGCTGGGCAGGTCCTCTGCCCCTGAATTTCACCCCTAAGACACATTTTTAAGGCTAGGATGTGTCTTAGTTGGTGGCATACTTGAAGCCATGGGTTTCACCTCACATATTACACTAGGCATGGTACAATTCTTGGACTTGGGAAATGGAAGCAGGAAGATCAGAAGTTCAAGGTCATCTTTAGCTACATAGTAAGTTTAAGGCCAGCCTAGGGTACACGAGATCCTATTTTTCAAAAAAGGAGGTATGGCCACGTGCTGCTGGCACACTCCAGTAATCCCAGCACTCAGGAGGCAGAGGCCAGCCTGGTGTATAGAGCGCGTTCCAGGACAGCCAGGGCTACACAGAGAAACCCTGTCTCAAACCATCCCCTCTCCCCCTGCAAAACAAAAAGGAGTTATGATTTTAAGATAATTGATTTCCTGATCCCACTCATGGTTTGCGTTCTTCACGCTGAGGTGGCTGTAGAAGGTTGAGATACCAAACAGGGCCATTTAGGGGATCGGCTGGCCAGTGTGCTGTGTGCAGGTGTACAGGTGCAGCTCAGCCTCTACTCTGCAAGCCTGTTGATCTGTGTTGTGTTTTGTTTGTAGGATGTGGTTTCCCATAGTAAAAAACTTACTAAGAAAAATAAGGAGCAGCTGTCTGACATGATGATGCTAAACAAACAGAAAGGAGGCCTCAAGGCCCTGAGCAAGGAGAAGAGGGAGAAGTTGGAAGCCTATCAGCACCTTTTTTATTTACTGCAAGTAAGTGGCTCCTGGGATTGGCTGTGTAAAATCCAGTGGATTTCTTTCTCCTTCACACTGGTCCTCCTGGAAGTCCTGCCCGGCTTCCACTGAGGGATACGTCTTGTTTTCCTTCTGTATATTGTAATCATTGAGGTTTTACACAGCATGAACTTGGGAAAGGAAAGCTTAACAAGCCTCAACTCCCTAGACAGAGAACTATAGGCAATTAAGGAATGCTGAGAGCAGAAGAAATAGTATTCCCAGGGGAAAGCACACCAGCTGCTTACCCAGGACTAAATGGTCAGCTCTGAAAATACACATACAAGTAACATTATACAGACTGGGCAGCTTATCAACAATTAAAGACAAAGAGCAAGGGGGGTTATATAGGTGGGATTGTGGGGAGGAAAGGGAAGAGAGAAATGATAGAATTGTAATTTCAAAAAAATACTATCAAAAGTATGAATTTTTAAGTAAATCAGCCTTTATAGTATCTAAAAGTTTCTGATCTGTTTTATTTCAGACCAACCCTACCTATCTGGCCAAGCTGATCTTTCAGATGCCTCAGAACAAGTCCACCAAATTCATGGACTCTGTAATCTTCACACTGTACAACTACGCATCCAACCAGCGAGAGGAGTACCTCCTGCTTCGGCTCTTCAAGACAGCCCTCCAGGAGGAGATCAAGTACGGCAGGGCGGGCAGGGGGGCCCCTCCCATCACCGGAGATGGCCATAGTTCAGGCTCAGATTAACTTTTGCCTTTCCTTGGTCTCAACTTGTGAGAAATTCTCTTTTTTAAAATAGCTAATGTAAAGTGTTGGTAACTGCCTAGCACAGTGGTGCACTCCTGATATCCCAGCATTCTAGAGGTTGGGCGGAAGGTTAATAATTAATAGAATTAATGCCCAAAGCAGGTCTCTTCATGCCCAGGGCCTGGCATAGCATTGCTGTATACAATATGGCCACCTGTCCATCCCTGTCTAGTTTACCGTTTATCAAGAGACAGGAAGAACTAGACAGTAGCTAATTCTTAGCAGTTATTACTATAGCATAGTTATTACAGTTATGAGGGACTTCTTAAGAGGGGGCCAGATGGGGCTGGCAAGATGGCTCAGTGGATACAAAGTGCTTGCTGCCAAGCCTGATGACCTGAGTTCCATCCTCAGACCCACATGGTAGAGAGAAATGATACATTCTCTTGTACATAAATAACTACACGTAATTTTTAAAAGAAAGAAAGAGTTGGCCAAGCATGGTGTCCAATTTATAATCCCAGCATTCAAGAGGCGGAAGCAAGAAAATCATAGACCCCCCCCCCCCATATCAAATAAAACACGGAGTATTGCCAAGAGGCAGAGGCAGGAAGACTAAGAGTTTGAGGCTAACTTCAGCTACATAGAGACTTTATCTCAGGGGGGGAAAAAAAAAAAAAAAAAAAAAACGATGTTATGGTATTGGTCCTAAAGTGAAGGGTCCAGTCATGACTCCTGCAACTGAGAGAGCAGTTACCAGAAAGTTCTGTGAATATTGGGAAATGCTTACAGAGGAAAACTGACCTGTTTCCAGAAGAACATTTTTAAACTGATAGATTCTGGGATTAGTTTAAATTTAATCTGTATTTGACATCTTATAGGTCAAAGGTGGATCAGATTCAAGAAATCGTGACAGGAAACCCTACGGTTATTAAGATGGTTGTAAGCTTCAACCGTGGTGCCCGAGGCCAGAATGCCCTCCGGCAGATCTTGGCCCCTGTAGTGAAGGAGATCATGGATGACAAATCGCTCAACATCAAGACCGACCCTGTGGATATTTACAAGTCGTGGGTTAATCAGATGGAATCTCAAACGGGAGAGGCAAGGTATTATGATCATGGCATTTTTTTTTTCATGCGTTTGCTGTTCTCTGTATCTTTAAAAACGCAGTTTCTTTTGATTTACAATAATAATAGTTCAAATAACGTTTCCTGTCAGGCATGTTTATAATCTCCGTGTTTGGCATCTGGACGCAGGAATGTCAGTCGTAGCTACATAGTGAGTTCCAGGCCAGCAAAGACTACATGAGACTCTGTCTCTAAAAAGCAAACACACACACACATTTTTTCCTTTGGGAACTGTGCTTCAGGTTAAGTTGATAGTTCACTTATTTAGCAAATACTTATTGAGTGCTTGTTATATTCTAGCACTTTTAGATGCGTGTAGAATAAAACAGTAGTGAACAAGGCATGTGTGAGATAGTTCATCGGGTAAAGGCTCTTCCTTTGCAGTCCTAGAGAACTGAACTGCACCTCCAGAGTCCATATAAAATTAAAGAGACCAAGCCCCACAGACTTGCCCTCTGACCTCCACATGTGTTTTGTGGCACACACCTCCCCCCATAATAATAAAAAGAAAAAATAATAAGAATTATAATAGTGAACGAGACAAACTCAATCCCTTACCCCTTTATAGTTCATTGGGGAAGAGAGGTAAATAAAACAGGTAAATAAAAATTACAATCAAGGAAAAGTTTTCAAAGGTTTTTGTAAGGCATTCTACTAGAGTACAGGAGAGTGCGAACATTGGCGAGTGGTTAGGGAGAACCATCTTTTAGCTGGACCTAAAGAACAAGATGGTAAGTGTGAGTGTGTGTCTAATGCCCTGCAGTGCTGTGCCCAGGACCGGAAAAGACTCTGCTGTAACTGGAGCAGTTGAATGGGAAGGTTCATGCCGCTTGGGATGGGAGGAAAGGGTGCCGGGTAAATGGTGCTCTGTCCTGGGTACTGAGAGCTGAGGCAGATGAATGGATATCTAAGGGAGCTGGGTCTGCCAGAGTGAACCTTAACTGCCAGAAACAGATCTAAAGCAAAAGCTTGTCAGTCAAATTTGGGTAATGCTGGGAAAAGAAAGTGCAGGGAGCTGTGCTGATTTTGGTTTTACATAGGTGGAATGAGGACCCGGAGACATGAAGTGAGTAGCTCTGTCTCTGGTTTTTCATTTGGGGCAGGCTAAACTGCAGGGAACTCAATGGTTCTTGGTGGAGTAGCTTTTCACACCATTGTTGTTCAGTCTGCAAGCCAGGCACAGTGGCTCACATATGTAAAGCCAGCACGTTGGACGTTTGAGGCAGACATTCAAAGTTACAGAATGAGGCCCCTTCTCCACCGCCCGTCTCTGTGCCCTCTTTGTCTGGGAACTTGGCCTGTCACCCTGTCAACACTGCTCAAGGCTACTAACTTAATTCCTTAGATGATCAATGGGTCAGTCATTACAAAGCAGAATTCTACTGGCCAGTTCAGGATTTGTTTCTTGTTGGCGTTGGTAAGAAACTGTGTCTCCTGATTTTCATCAAATGGAAATTGACTGTTTTTTTTTTTTTTTTTCTCTCAGTACTAGTACCTGTGAGGTGTGGGAAGCCACCTGGCATGTCAGCCCCATCTCCCCCTCCCTCCCACCCCCCAGGCCTTTCCCTTCTGCTTAACCACCCAACACAGCAGACTTGGACCTATCACCTCTTAAGGAGAAGAGTCACCTCTATATTCTTAAATTTCCCCTTTCCTCAAGCTGGGTGGTGGTGGTGGTGGTGCACACCTTTAGTTCCAGCATTTTGGAAGCAGAGGCAGGAGGATCTCTGAGTTAAGGCCAGCCTGGTCTACAGAGTGACTTCCAGGACAGCCAGGGCTATCAGAGAAACCCTATTGGGGGGGAGGTGTTTCTCTTCTCGGTGTTCTTTTCTCTGGCCATTGTGGTTTCGATTCTCTTGCTTGCTACTATTTTGTTTTGATTATTAACTTTTGTGCAATGCTGAGGATGAAACCCAGGACTATGTACGTGGGAGACCATGCCCTGCCACTAAGCCATCCTCCCTAGCACTACTGCTGTTTTAAAACAAATGTGTAAGGTTACAGTGAATTTTACTAATGTAAAAGAGACAATGTTAAACACACAATACTTTATTGTTAATTACAAACACTTTACTGGGTTTCATCCAGTGTGCTATGGCAACTGTTGGTTTACCATGGTGACTATAAGCAACTCACCACACATCTGTTCCTTGGCTTCAATTTCTGGTGGCCTTTGGCACTGCTTAACTTGTGGTCATGTGATTATATTGTCTGCCTCCCCGGCTCCCTTGCCTCTCCCCTGCGTAATAAATCTCCCTCTGTCTCTATCTTCTTGGTCACCTGGTTTATATTTAGGGACCACTTGGACGGTCTAAGATAGTCATCACTTTTAAAACCTCGACTATACCAGAACCCTTATCCTTGCGTGTATCCTTATCTTTATTTGTGTAGACCATGTTGTAGCACATCTTCATTTTTCATTCCCACAAGTCTGTATGCATCCCAGGCTGGCCTTAAATTCCCCGTGTAGCCGAAGAAGGCTTTGAACTCACGATCCTTCCCCTTCCACCTCCTGAGCATGCCCTTTAGGGCCTGATTTATATGTGGTGTTGGGGATTGAAGCCCAGGCTTGGTGTGTGCCAGACAGACACTCTGCCCTTGTCCCACACCCCCAGCCTCTCGCTCCTGCCTCTTCTGACCAAGTGTGCTCCTTCTGACTGTCTCCTCTAACACGAAGAGGTACCAAGTTCTATTGGCTGTGCTGTCTCTTGGGTCCTGTGGACCATCTTGCTCTCCACCGTTGGACCTGCATCTTTGTTCATACGCATCATCTCTGGTTCAAGCTGGGACACTGGCTTCCCACATCTCTCACTTTAATTCCTGTAGGGAGCCAGGGCAGCATTTCCTCAAAACTGAGAACTTTCTTTAAACTGTGTGTGTGTGTGTGTGTGTCTGTGTGTCTGTGTGTGTGTCTGTGTGTGTGTGTGTGTCTGTCTGTCTGTGTGTCTGTGTGTGTGTGTGTGTGTGAATGTGTGTCTGTGTGTGTGTGTGTGAATGTGTGTCTTTGTGTGTGTGTCTTTGTGTCTGTGTTGAGGAATAAGGGGGCATGCGGAGGTCAGAGGACAATTGTATGAAGTTGTTTCTCTCTTTCCACCCTTTCTGTGGGTTCTGGGGATCAAACTCGGGTCTCCAGGCTTGTATGGCTAGCACTTTCACCTGCTGAGGAATCTCAATTCTCTAAAACCTTTAACTTTTAGTGGCTACTTCTGGCTTCTAAGCAAGTTGAGACTTAGCAGTGTATACAGGACCCATTAGCTTTTCTATTCTTGTGTCTCTCCCTTCTGTTCTTCACTCATACACAGCTTCCCTGCCCTCCTAGAAGACACTTCACTTCCATTTTCTTGAGCTGAGGTGTCTGTCCTTGAGGTTGGGAGCCTTCCTTTCTTTCTCCAATCTGAGTAGACGCTCCCACTGTAGCCCGCAGCACGTCTCATCAGCTTACTGTTTATAAGCATGTTTTTTCTTCATTGTAGGGAATTAACCCAGGGCCTGGGGTATGCTGGAGAGTGCAGTATTGCTGAGCTGACCTTAGTCCACACAGTATGAGCACCTGCTTGCATGCCTCTGGTGCTGTGAGAGCGACCCGAGAGATGTGATGTCTTAAGTGCTTTCCTTGCTGAGTGCTTATCAGAGTGCCCCACAAGACAAGGCATCCAATTTACAGTCGAAAATCCAAGTTCAAATTTTGCCCCCAGCTTTAACCAGCTCTGTGCAGAGGAACAAACTTAAATTAGCTAAACTTTCTGGGTCTTTCTATTTATAAAAGATGAGCTTCCTGCCTCAAGCTGTCCTGGGAGTTGGTCTAACATTGCTGGGGGTAATTTCTGTTTTCTTAGCAAACTGCCCTATGATGTGACCCCTGAGCAAGCCTTGTCCCATGAAGAAGTGAAGACAAGGCTAGACAACTCCATCAGGAACATGAGGGCTGTGACAGACAAATTTCTTTCAGCAATCATCAGCTCGGTGGACAAGATTCCGTGAGTGCCCTCAATTATGGCCCCAAATAAAAGCTGGCATTGATGTTGTACTCTGTGGCCCTGACTTCTGTTTGTCCATCCCACAGTTATGGGATGCGCTTCATTGCCAAAGTGCTGAAGGATTCGCTGCATGAGAAGTTCCCTGACGCTGGTGAGGACGAGCTGCTGAAGGTGAGAACCCTGAAAACTGGTGGGTCCCTGCCCTTCTCGTAGCCCTTAGGGACCTGGCCCTGACCGCAGACCGGCAGGAGGTGCCTGTGTGTCATTTCTGGTGCAGCTCGTCCTTGACTGTGGGCCTTAAAGGCAGTTGTAAATAGAAGACGATAGCCCTTCTAATCAAATAGTTTCTGTTCATTTGAAAGGCACACAAAGTGCACTAAGTATAGGAAGTTGAATTTTCTCCCCCAAGTCCTCCTTTCTCTGAAGCATTGCTCCATCTCCTGGTGGCCAGGTGAATAGCAGCAAGCTCAATTGCTCTGCTATGACTTGGCTGCTGACTTCTTACTCGGCTGTACTCTTTCTATTTATTTTTTTTAATCGGAACGCTTTTCTCTTCTCTCTCCTAGTTCTGTGCTTTCCTACAGTGAGGCCTCGATTCTAGACTTTCTGTTCAGGTGAATTAATTTTATTTTTGTCTGGAACTCTAGGGGAGATGCCATGATTGCCCTTGAGTTCTGCTGTGGAAGAGATGTGTGTTGAGTGACTCTCGTTTCAGAGGCATGAACTTGGCCTTTGCAGTCTGCAGCATGTGGATGGTGGGGTTGGACAGATGGCATTGTGCTAAATAGGTCATCTAAGGGTTTACTTTCGCTGTGCTCCGTAGCTTCACCAAAGCCCACCTGTGAAAACCAAAAGCACAGGCGTTTGCAGCAGGCTTAGCTGCTACTGTCACATGTGAACAAAAGATGTTCTGACATGTTGGATCACATAGCCTACATGTCACTTGAGTTCTGAATCCATTCTTTCATTCATCCCTGGTTGTAGTTTTCAGTTCTCTTATTCCCCTTACACACCCTAGATTTTGTTTAATTTATTTTGAATTCTAGGTCTTGAAGGGAAGGCTGTGTGCATGTGTGCATGCTGGTGTGTTTTTTCATTTACCGTTTCCTCACAGGACTGCATTTTCTCATTTTCATTGCTAGCAACCTCACGTGTGGCTTCCTCAGTACTGTGGTCTTTAATGCCCATGCTTCTGTTTCAGATTATTGGTAACTTGCTCTACTACCGATACATGAACCCGGCTACTGTCGCCCCAGATGCCTTTGACATCATTGACCTGTCTGCAGGGGGCCAGCTCACCACAGACCAGCGCAGAAATCTGGGCTCCATTGCAAAGATGCTCCAGCATGCAGCCTCCAATAAGATGTTTCTGGGCGATAATGCCCACTTAAGCATCATTAATGAGTATCTTGCTCAGTCCTACCAGAAATTCAGGTAAGGGACAAAGTAGATGATACATAACCCAACCTTTTATGACACTTTGTCTGTGTTTGGTATTAAGGGTAATGTCGACCTCACAAATGAATTGAGAGATGTTCTCTTCTAGGGAAGAGTTGAGCATTTCTTTTTTGTTGTTATTGTTTCTTTGGTTTGTTTGGTTTTGGTTTTTCTGAGACAAGGTTTCCTCTGTGTAACAGCCTTGGCTATCCTTAAATTCACTGTAGACCAGGCTGGCCTTGAACTCAGATCCACTTGCCCTGCCTCTGCCTCCTGAGTGCTGGGGCTAAAGGTGTGCACCACCGCCTGGCTAGTTGATTGATTCTTGTGGGTGAAATAAAACTAACCAGAGAACTGACTAAGGCTGCTACCAGTCAGTATTGGACAGTAGACAGCTGCCAGGCCAATGCCACTTGCTGGTGCTTACTTTCAGACGGTTTTTCCAAACTGCTTGCGACGTCCCGGAGCTGCAGGATAAATTTAACGTGGACGAGTATTCTGATCTAGTCACCCTCACCAAGCCGGTTATCTACATTTCCATTGGTGAAATCATCAACACCCACACTGTAAGTATTCCCCCTTAATGACTTCATTTCATCACACTGCCCTGAATTACCTTCCCTGGCACCTGTCTCCTCTCTGATGGCCAGGTATCTCATTTTGCTGTGATCTTGTTTTGTTTCTTCAAGACAGGTTTTCTCTGTGTCCTGGTTGTTCTGGAACTCGCTCTGTAGACCAGGCTGGCCTAGAACACAATGATCTGCCTGCCTCCTGAGTGCTGGGATTAAAGGCGTGGGCCACCACTGCCTGTACTTTGCTGTGATCTTTATTGACCACAGCTCCTTGTTTTTTTAATCCTTTTCTATTGCTGTTCTTCGGTGCTAGGAGTCAAATCCAGGGCCTAGTGTGTGCTATGTGCTATGTGCTCTGTCTCTGCACTACACTCCAGCCCTGCTTCATATTTGAAATATCTGCTGTTCTGCAGATGATCCCTAAGCCTCCTGTGTCAGAGCCATCCATGCTGACATTGAGATGTTTGCAAGCCCCATGACAGGTGTCCTGACCCAGAATCTCTGGGGGTGGACACCAAAAAGTGCATTGTGAACACAGGCTGAGGGGCTTGATAAGATTCTTTCTCCCCTCTTCTGTACCAGCCATTTGCCTTATTCCTCTCACGGGCTCTAGAACACCAGCTTCATTCCCTCTGTGGCTGTGGGGGGGGGGTCTCCTTTTGGAAGCTCTGTATTTATACAGATATTCAAACACAATTTCCTTCTCTCTTTGGGGACATGTACATCAACAAGTACATATGTGATCAGGCGGTGGTGGTGCACGCATTTAATCCCAGCACTTGGGAAGTTCATATGTGATGGAATTTCAGTTCCTGTCCTCTCTGAAGACGTTAGCTGGGATAGTAGCATACGTGAGGCCTTGTTGCGTGACACTAAGATAATGTTGGTGTGAATCTGGATGCTTCTTTCCTAAAGAGATTTATTTACTTATTATGTCTGCATGATTCCTGGAGGCCAGAAGAGGGCGCCAGATCTCATTACAGATGGTTGTGAGCCACCAAGTGGTTGCTAGGAATTGAACTCAGGACCTCTGAAAGAGCAGCAAGTGCTCTTAACCTCTGAGCCATCATCTCTCTAGCTCTGGATGCTTCTTTTCTGAATAAAAAGATACTGTACATTGGCAGAGTTTAAAACCTGGGATTGGAAAACAATAACAAAACACAAAACAAGCTGTTCCTGGGACCCAGAGCAAATCTCAGTATGTTGTATTGGCGCTTGTTGAGTGTAGCGATGAACTTAGTCTGTTCCTGTGGCTTTCTTACACGGGGGCATTTGAATTTGTTATGGCCAGGAGCTGAAGTGGGGGCAGGCCAGGATTCCCTGGTATTTCACAATGTACAATGTTCCATGAAGTCCAGTGTGCTGCTGCCTGGGTCCTTGTGCTGTTTCCTGGGTTAGCTTGTTTTGCTTGGGATGTGGTGGCTTTGTTGTTTGGCTGCTTCTGTGCAGATCCCTGTTGGGCCTTGTAGGTGGGGACAGAGGGTGAGGATGGGACATGGGGTCACTCACTGGGTGTTTGCAGCTCCTGTTGGACCATCAGGACGCCATAGCTCCAGAGCACAATGACCCCATCCACGAGCTGCTGGACGACCTTGGCGAGGTGCCCACTATCGAGTCCTTGATAGGTAATGTTCCTCATGAGCCACTGGAAAGCTGAGAGGGCCCGCCTCAGAGGGTTTAGTGTCATTGTCTCTGTGATCTTGCACTGTATCAGATTCTACACACACTGTGGGGGACAGAACCAATGTAAGTCCCGCCTATGAGCAGCAGAGTCCAGACAAAAGTAACCAGCTGTAATCAGAAAGTAAGTCTTATAAAGGAAACGCTACATTGTTGACTTTTTTTTAAGAAGAAGGTCTCACTTTGAGGTCCTGTCTGGCTTGGAACTCAATAAGACCAAGCTGGCTTCACATTCTCAGAGATCTACCTCCCTCAGCCTCCTGAAGGCTGGGATTAGAGGTGTGTACCACCATGTCCAGCGAAATGATTTTTCACACATTTATGAAGTTATTGTATTATGGACCTTTCTCAGCCATTTGGCTTAGTTTCCTTTCCTTCTCAGTAAAAACACCTCACCACACTGATGTGCGTTAGTTTATCAAGAGTCATACTGACCTGCATAGTATTTATTTGAATTATTTTCCCCCTAAAGTCTTTTTATTACATTGACTCTTTCTACACTCCCAAAACTGCAGGGGAAAGTTGCGGCAATTTAAATGACCCCAACAAAGAGGCACTGGCTAAGACAGAAGTATCTCTCACGTTGACCAATAAGTTTGATGTGCCTGGTGACGAGAATGCAGAGATGGATGCTCGGGCCATCTTACTGAAGTGAGTATGGAAAGGGAGAAGGAAGTGGCCAGGAGTCCAGTTCACCTGGAACAGCCATCCTGGCCCCTCTTGCCATCACAGGATCGCCACCCTGCATCTCGCTTGGCACAGGACTTACTTTGCTAATATACAATTACAGTCTTGCAACTCCTCCCCTGTTATAGTTGCCTGTTCCTTGTGCCAGTAACTGACCCTGAGGGTGCTATAGCAAGGCATTGTGGGGGTGATGGTGCTTCGGATGCTGCTTAGATCCAATGGCAAGGAGCTGGGGCACGCAGCCACGCTCAAACCCACTCCCATCTCCTTGCAGCACAAAACGTTTAATTGTGGATGTCATCCGGTTCCAGCCAGGAGACACCTTGACTGAAATCCTAGAAACGCCAGCCACCAGTGAACAGGTACACACCAAGATTTCATACTTGTATTCCTACACTGGATAAGTTCTTCTAGGACAGGTGCATCCCTGGGTGGGGATAGGGGCACAGGGAAGGGATTGGACCCATGGTGAGCATGGATCTGACTATGGGACAGTAGTAAGGCTCATTTGACTGAGAAAGTTGGTGGCTCCTAAATCCAGAATGTGTTCTTAAGACATGAAACATGAGATGGAGAATATTGGCTGGATGAGATTTTAATCAGGGACAGAACATGGTGTCTGTCTAGTAATTTAGTGGCTGTCTTATAGTCGTAATTATATGAAGTACCTTGATTGTGTCTCTAGAAGTGCAGGATGTGGCTTCAAACTTAAGGTCCAGTTAAAAAGTAATGATACATACATCTGAAACCATAAGGCCGTTAGAAATTAACTATAGTATTGATTATAAAAATGCCAGGGGACTAGAGAGATGGTTCAGTGGTTAAGAGCACTGATTATTCTTCCAGAGGACCTGGTTCAATTCCCAGCACCTACATGGCAGCTCACTCCAAGGTCTGACACCCTTACACAGGCACACTTGCAGGCAGAATACCAATGCACATAAAATAAAAGTAAAAAAAGAAGAAAGAAAAAAAAAAAAAGATTCCAAAAGTTTTTGGGTATGGTGGGCATGCCTTTGATCCCAGCAAAGTTATCTGCGTTCAAGGCCAGTCTGGTCTACATAGCTAGTTCCAGGCCAGCCAGTGAGACCCTATCTCAAAAAGACAAAACAACAACAACAACAAAAAAAACAACCCACAGTTTTTGAGGTGGAGGCCAGTGAGGAACAGTGTATCAGGAAGTCACAACAAAAGAAGCAGAACCCAAGCCACACTTAGAGACCAGGAGGATAGAAAACAAAAGAGCAAATTCAGGGCAACAGAGCCCACAGGAACAAGGGGGCCAAGGAGGGAGGAAAACAGTGAGATCAGACTACCAGTCCAAGGTGAAGATGGGAAGGGTAGTTATGAGAAAAGCAAAGCCAAGGGTGGAATTATCTAGAACTCCAGAGCTCAGACTTGAGTGAGGGAGATGGTGATGATAGCCATGGATGACAGCCGTGGATGCCAAAGTCAGAAAAGAGAATGAAGTTGTTAAAAAAGGATCAGCTGGGCCTGGCAGTACTCAATCTCAACTCCTTAGGAGGTTGAGGCAGGAGGATTACCAAGTTCATGGCCAGCCTGGGCTATCTGGCAAGACCTTGTCTTGGTGCTTTTTTAAAAAACAAGGGAAAAGGTAAGGAAAGATGATAGAGTCCAGGGAAGGTTCTTTGATATGACAACAGTGTTTGCAGCATGCCTGGAAGCAGAGGGCAGCAGGAACCAGCTCCAGCTCAGGCAGTGTGTCAGGAGCAATTAGCAAGATTTCACTGGGCACTGCTCTTGTGTTAATTTGTGTTGTTATAGTGAGTCACAATTTGGATAAAATAACAGTGGCTTCTACATCCTAAATTAAGCTAGGGAAAGATAAAGGATTTCGTAGCTCATAGAATCTAGTTTTCTGGCTACACCTAGTGTCAAGAAAGCGGAGCATGTGGATTCACAGTTGTACTTTGCTAGGTGAAATGAGATATTTCACCTTGATGCTGTTCTTCATCTGGCATTTGATAGAGGGAAGAGATTTGCAGCTGAGTTTGAGAACCCTGCAATCGAGTGCACATATGCTATGAGTCCCGAGTTTAGGGCTCCTGTGGTGAACTTCCAAGAAGTATTTTTGTTTTGCTCTGTAGGAAGCCGAACATCAGAGGGCCATGCAGAGACGGGCCATCCGGGATGCCAAAACCCCTGACAAGATGAAAAAGTCAAAACCTGTGAAGGAGGATAACAACCTCAGCCTTCAGGAGAAGAAGGAGAAAATCCAGACTGGCCTAAAGAAGCTAACAGAGCTTGGGACAGTGGACCCAAAGAACAAATACCAGGAGCTCATCAACGACATTGCCAAGGTACTGCATGTGGAAACAGTGGTGGCCCAGCCTTGTTTACAGCTGCTTCAAGAGCTCACAAACAAGCAGTAGCCACTCAGGCCACAGCATAACTTCTCGTGTGCAGAATGGTACAGTCCGACTCTCACACCAGGGCTTCTCCTGAGGGGGATTTTTTGCGTGGTCTGAATTAATGTGGAAACAGCCTTCAGTAGACCTTCCAGTGTCTGATTTTTCATTGCCTTTAAAGAATCCGCCAGTCCCTTTTCATAATTGCTATGAAATATATAAAGGTGGTAGTTGTATGGTCCACTTGATTTGTGTGAATCACCCCAAGCCAGGGCTCAGATTTCTAATTTCACTGGGATAATGCTATTAGCACTGAAGAAACTGGTTCTTTTCCTTCCCTCTTGGGATAGCATGTTTATGAGGTCTGGACCAGCTCTGTAAGTAAAGTATGAAAACAAAATCTGAGCACACAGCTCCCTGTTAGTAGAGGATTGAGGCAGATGAGATCTGAATTTCCTTTAGGTTGCCAACACAGGTCTCTGCCTGTTGAGAACAGTTGGCATGTTTGAGTTCAGCCCAGCTGGATTGTAGATAGAGTTCACGAATGGTGATGGTTCAAGAGACATAGGCTGCCTGACCTCATTGTCCTCCTTTTTGTGGTTGTGCTTCCTCAGGATATCCGGAATCAACGGAGATACCGGCAGAGGAGGAAAGCCGAGCTGGTAAAACTGCAGCAGACGTACGCAGCTCTGAACTCTAAGGCCACCTTCTATGGAGAGCAGGTGGATTACTACAAGAGCTATATCAAAACCTGCTTGGATAACTTGGCCAGCAAGGGCAAGTGAGTCTTCATTTTTAATTATTCCTGGGCAAGAATTACAGGGATAGGAAGAATTAGAAAGGGGTGTTTTAATTTTTCATTAAATTTACTGGGCTCGAACTCAGATATCCGCCTGCCTCTGTCTCCCAAGTGCTGGAATTAAAGGTGCCTGACAGAGAATAATTTATCTACAGCACCTAGGATTCACTTACTGCCTTAGTTCCTTATTTTGCTTCCTATGTCTGTGTAATTGCCTGGTTTCATTTAGTAGTGTGTTGTGGGCTGTTGGGAAGGGGCTTGAGGATGCTTCTTTCCAAACATTTTATTGTTGGTTTTTATTCTTTACTCTTTTGGCTCTTTGCTCTTTGGGGGCCCAACACCCAGCTCCCAAATAAATCCACAGAGTCTTATTCTTTCTTATGAATGCCCAGCCTTAACTTGGCTTGTTTCTAGCCAGCTTTTCTTAACTTAAATTATCCCATGTACCTTTTGCCTCTGGACTTTTATCTTTCTCTATTTCTTTTATGTTTTTTGAGACAGGGTTTCTCTGTGTAATTCTGGCTGTCCTGTAACTAGCTCTGTAGACCAGGCTGGCTTCAAACTAGATCCACCTGCCTCTGCCTCCTGATTGCTGGGTTTAAAGGTGTGTGCCAACACTACTAGCTTACCTTTCTGTTTCTGTATATCTTACTTTCACTCTTACTCCATGGCTGGCTGGGTTGCTTACCCCTAGTGCCCTCCTCTCCTCCTCTTCTTGCTCCTTGATCTTCTTGCTTCCTGATCCCTCTTTTTCTCCTTCTATTTATACTCTCTGCTTGCCAGCCCCCTCCTATCCTTTCTCCTGCTTTGCTATTGGCTGTTCAGCTCTTTATGAGACCAATCAGGTGTTTTGTAACAGGCACAGTAACACAGCTTCACAGAGTTAAATAAATGCAACATAAAAGAATGCAACACATCTTTGCATCATTAAACAAATGTTACACAGCATAAACAAATGTAACACATCTTAAAATAATATTTTTATTTAATTAATTTTTTTATTTTACATGTCAATCCCAGTTCCCTCTCCCTCCCTCTTACCCTCTCTTCCCCCTCACATGCACCCTGACCACCCTCCCTTCCCATCCCCTCACCCCCATTCCACATATAGGGCTATGCTATTCAAGGTGGGGTCATGTAGATCTGTCAAGTCATTTGGAGTAGGGACTAGGACTTCTCTCCTGTCTCTAGGTTAAGGCAGTATCCCCCCATGGGGGATGTGTCCACAAGGTCCTTTCGTGCAACAGGAATACATCCTGGTTCCACTGTCCCTTAGACTTCTCAGTCCTTCTGAGACCCATATTCAGGGGGTCTGAGTCAGTCCCATGCTGGATTCCCAGCTATCAGTCTGGGGACCCATCAACAGCACTTCTTGTTCTAAAATATTAGTTTGGTCTGGAATTGGTGACTCATGCAAGGGAACCATCGAACTTGACTTCCAAATCTCCCACCAAGCATGATGGCACACACCTGTAGTCCCAGTACATAGAGGCCTGTCCCCCAAACCGATCAACTTCCTAAGGATTTTACAGAGTTTTGGGCTTTCTGATGCCTGTGGGCAGGATCACAGGCTCCAGGGAAAGCTGGCTACAACTTTCCTGTGATGGCCACAAGCCTGAGCCTTCTGCTTTTACAGGAAAGAAATTGCAACCTTTTATTTTTTAGAAATTTCAAACCTCAGGAAGGTTGAAAGAACAGGGCACCCAGAGCCCTTCCTACAGATGCCCTAGAGTTTACATGCGTTCCCTCTATATTATACTCATCACTGGAGCCAGGCAGGGCTGGCACTGGAGAGACAGTCCCCTATCCCACCTGGGAGAGCTGACTCCTGTACCCTTTGACATACCCCTGTCAATCTTTGTGTGCTCCCTGGCTTTCTGACAGACACTGTCAGGCGTGCTTTGTCGTTTCTCTTCCCAGGCCTAGAACGATGCTTTCCCCAAGCCTCCCTGGTTTCATTTAGAAGCCGGTTTAGTGGCTAGCCGTCTAGCCATCCTGGTTACCAGGTTCAACATTCCTAGGTCCTTCTAGGCAGAACACAGCTAGGTAGGTGTTCAGTTTGAATGCCTGCACACTGTTCCAAAAGATGCTTCTAATCAGTTATCCACTGATGAACATTTGCATCTAGTTGTTCACCACTCTACAGTTCTGTGGGGCTAAAGATGGCTGGGTGGTTAAGAGCACTTGCTGCTCTTCTGAGGACACTCTGAGGAATTTGGCTCCCAGCATCCACATCAGGCAGCTCATGGCTGTCTGTAACTCCAGATCTGACAGACTTCAAGCCTCCACAAGCATGCATACAGTTGCCACAGAAACATAAAAAAATAAAAGTTAATACTTTAAAAAACGAAGTTAATGAAGCCAGACAGATGGTACAGTGGTTAAAATCTCCTCTTCCAGAAGAGCTGGGTTCAATTCCCAGCACCCACATGGTGGCTCACAACTGTCTGTAACTCATGTCCCAGGGAATCCAGTGCCCTCTTCCAGCCCACCTGACACAACACATGCGTGTGGCACACATACACTTACACACATAAAATAACAAATAGCAGAGCACCCACACATATAACAACAAATCTATTTTAAAAAAATGCCTGCATCAGCCTCTTAGACATGTGCTGTTTTGCAAATGTAGGCATTTTCCGAAAGTTAACTCCTAGCCGTGAAGTGGACGGATGGGTGACTTTCCTAGGGTCGTCCTGTCACACTCCTGCCTGACACTCCCTTGCAGGCCCAGGTCCCTGGATGGGACTTACCGTTTTTCTTCCCGTGGTTACTCTTCACAGTGTTTCTGTCTTTAATTTCCCTGTGGACTGTTAACTTCTGTTTCTTTCACCTTCACTCCATTCCTCTATCACTGCTGTGCCTCTTCTGCTTTTAAAATATCTAGTTGTGGCCAGGTAGTGGTGGCGCACGCCTTTAATCCCAGCACTCCAGAGGCAGAGGCAATGGATCTTTGTGAGTTCAAGACCAGCCTGGTCTATAAGAGCTAGTTCCAGGACAACCAGGGCTACACAGAGAAACCCTGTCTCAAAAAAACCAAACAAATAAATAAATAAAAGTTGTAGTTGTGGAACTCCTTTTCTACAAGACTGGGGGTTTACAGAGATTTTTATTATTATTTCATGGTAATGTTTTATTTGCATTTTATATATGAAGAATGCATACATCTTTTTAAAAATTGTTTCTCTTATTTTTTTTAGTTATACTGACTTTTTAAAATTATTATCATTATTTATTTTGGTTTTCAAAACAGGGTTTCTTTGCATAGCTCTAGCTGTCCTGGAACTTGATCTGTAGACCAGGCTGGCCTCAAACTCCCAGAGATCTGCCTGCCTCTACCTCCTGAGTGCAGGGATTAAAGGCATGTGCCGCCACTGCACGGCCTTAAAAATTATTTTACTTTCATTTTATTTATTTAATTTTTGCAGAGAGTCTCAGGTAGTTCACTAGGTTGGTGAACTCACCAGTAGCCAAGGCTGGCCTTGAGCATCTAACTCTCTTGACTCCACCTCACCAGTATTAGTTTGTGTGTTTGTGTGTTATACACATGTTTGAATACAGCACCTGTGTGAGGCTGGGTCTCTCTGTTATTGTTCTGCATGCTCCACACTAGCTGGCCAACGGTCCCTGAGGCCTGAGCTTGTCCCCATCTCCCATCCCACTGTGGGAGTGTCAAGATTCCAAATGCACAACACTGTATCCAGCTTTTTACGTGGGTTCTGGGGACCAAACTTGAGTCTTTAGGCTTGTGCAACGTGAGCTTTTACTCTCTGCCTTCTCCTTGGCCCCTCACATGGATTTGTTGGTTCGAAAACTACGTGGATGCACTGGCATGCTCTAAGGTTCATGGCCTTGTTCTCCAATATAACTTCAAATCAAGGTGGAAGCGAATTAGTAATGTTGCCCAGTTTCGCAGAGGTCGCTTGGGCAAGTCCTCACATTTGTCTGCCATTTTAGAATTGACATATTTTTATGCTTGTGTAAGTTTCTGGCCTTACTTTGTGATGTCTAAGACTTGTAGTAAATTACTTAAAGAGCATCATAATGCAGTTTCTATTTCCTTTCACAGAGTCTCCAAAAAGCCTCGGGAAATGAAGGGCAAGAAAAGCAAAAAGATTTCTCTGAAGTACACAGCAGCAAGACTACATGAAAAGGGAGTTCTTTTGGAAATTGAGGACCTCCAAGCAAATCAGTGAGTGTTTCCTTTTTATGTGCACGTGTGTGTGCTGGTACGTGTGTGTGTGTGTGTGTGTGTGTGTGTGTGTGTGTGTGTGAGTGTGAGTGTGAGAACATGGTGTGTGTACTGGTGTGTGTGTGTGTACTGGTGTGTGTATGTGAACATGGTGTGTGTGGTATGTGTGTGTGTGCATAAGTGTGTGTGAGGTGTGTGTGTGTGTGTGTGTGTGTGTGTGTGTACATGGAGGCCAGTGGCCGATGTCAGGTCACTCTTCCTTTTCGCCCTCCACCTTATTTTCTGAGGCACAGTCTTTCACTGAATCTGGAGCTCATCAATTCTGCTGGGCTGCTGGCTAGCAAGCCCCTGGGCTCTGCCCGTGTCTCCCACCCACATCCCATACTGTTGTTACAGGGATGGATTGCTGTACCCAGAGTTTTACATGGATGCTGAGGATCTGACTAAGGGCCTTACACTTGGGCAATAGCACTTTTTCTGCAGAGCCATTTCTTCCTGTATTTTCATTTTAACTCTATTTTAGTACCTTTTTCTTTTTAATTTTGAATTCATTCCAATGTTATCTTATTGTTCTTACTTCTCTTTCTACGTGGCTCTTTTCTATATTTTATGCATTTTCTTATAAGTATATATTTTTAATGTGCAGAGCTAGGTTTTTTACAAACAGTTCTTTAACCTGGCAATAAAAGAGGATGCATGTTTATTTTATTTTATATGTGTGCACACGCACACACCGTGGTATATATATGGAGGTAAGATAACAATTTGCAGGAGTTGGTTCTCTCCTTCTACCACGTGGGTTCCAGGGATGGAACCTCATAATTGGGCTTGAGGACAGGTGCCTTTATTTCCCAAAGGTTTGCCACCTGAGAATAAATTTCTTTTTCTCTTTTGTCCCAGGCATATTGACAGCAATGTGTGTGTGTTTGCCTCATCCTAATCTCACCTCTTAGAAACAGGAAGCAGTTCCTTCATTTTCTGTGTCTGACTAATTCATACTGTCTTAGTTACTGTTCTACTGCTGTGACAAAACAATGACCACAGCAAGTTACAAAGGGAAGCATTCGTTTCAGAGGGTTAGTGTATGATCATCGTGGCAGGGAAATTGGCAGCAGGTAGGCAGGCATAGCATAGAGCAGTAGCCAAGAGCTCACATCTGATCCACAAATAATAAGTAGACAGAGAGCGAACAAGACTGAGCCTGGTATAGGCTCTTGACATCTCAAAGCCAGTGGCACACCTCTTCCAACAAGGCCACGCCTAGTCCATCAAAGCTACGCCTCCTAATCCTTCCCAAACAGTTCCACTAACTGGGGCCCAAGCACTCAAACATGTGAGCCTATGTGAAACCACCGTGCATGCCCACAAAAAGCATTTGCTTTGATCCACATAGGGATCGCTGCATCCTTCCCGGGAAGCCCAGCATGCTTTGACCCTGGGTCAGAACAGTTCATGCCTCTGACCCAGTGTCCTCTGGCAGCCCCAGCCTGCATTGTCAGAAAGCACACATTGAGCTTGGACTGCTGGCCATTCCTTCCTTTGTTCCAGAAGGATCTTCTTAGCTCTGAAATATGTATTTGTGACTGACCTTTCAAAGTAGGGCAATGCATGAGAGAGGCCCCAGGACTCCACAAGCTAGAAGGGAACTCTTGAGGTAGTGAACTTCTTTCTGTGCTTTTATTCAAAAACAGGCAATCCACCTCACTTTCTGAACATAAATTGGGATGTCATTTGCTGTCACGTATCCAGCTTTTATTGATAACATTGTATTATGAGACATCCTCATACTTTTTGAAAGTGTCTTTGAGCAGGGCCAAATAAGAGGCCAGCCTGATCTACAGAGTGAGTTCCAGGACAGCCAGGGCTACACAGAGAAACCCTATGATGGGGAAAAAAAAAAAGTATCTTTATAATGGCTATATATTCCCTATCTTGAACACTTAATTATACTTTTTTATTATATTATTGTAAGTGTGGTAAGACATGTCTATCAGCCAGTGCTTGTATTAAGCCACATGAGGGGCCACCTCTTTTGAGATGGTTCCTGGCTATACCGATCAGGCTGATACTGAACTAACAAGTCATTGATCTTCCCACCTCATCCTTCTGCACAGTTAGGACTACTGGCTCATGGCATCATGCTCAGTTTTTGTTTGGTGGTGGTGGTGATGACAGGGCCTCACTGTAGCCCAAGCTAGCCTCAACCCCCCTACCCCCAGCCAGTCCTGATTACAGGCATGTACTGCCACTGTGTTGTGGAGTAACTTTTTGTACACTGTGAAGAAGTGCTAACCCTGATTAGTTTAATAAAAAGCTGAGTGGCCAATAGCTAGGCAGGATTCCAAGGCACAAAGGACACTGAGAAAAAAAAGGCAGGAACCCGAGGAGACGTGGAGGAAGCAGGAAAGCAGGATGGACAGCATGTAGGTGAGGTAAACGAGCCTCAGGGCAGCACATAGACTAATATAGATGGGTTAATTTAAGTTACAAGATCTAGTTAAAAACAAGCCTAAGCTATCGGCCAAGCTTTCATAATTAATAAAAGATCTCTATGTAACATCTGGGAGCTGGCTGGCAGGACCAAAAAAAAAAAAAAAAAAAAAAAAACTCAATACAACTCTGGGTCATGATTGCGTTTTAAAATAATGGATGCCTAAAATTGATTTCTGATAGAGTGTTTTTAAAAACTGTTACAAAGACACATGACATCCAGTTCACAGTGTAACCATTTTCAGTGCTGTAGTTCAGTGTTCACCAGTAGTTCAGCCAAAATTCTAGAAGGTTTTCATCTTGCAGGACTCACTCCCTGTGTTCCCACTAGCCAGCCTCCAGTAGCCACCATGCTCTTGACTGCATGAGTTTACCTCACATAAGTGAGGCCATTTACTCTCTGTCTTTTGTGACTGGCTTGGACATTCACTTAGCATAATGTCCTAGAGATTTAACCACATGACAGGATTTCCTTCCTTTTTAATTTTAAGGCTGAATAATATTCCATTGTCTGTGTGTACCACATTTTGTTTCTCAGTCATGCACTGGTGGACAGGCTCTGTTTCCGCTTCTAAGCTATTGTGAGAGGCATTGCTCTCGAGTCTTGGGGTACGTGCTCAGAAGTGGGGTGACTCACGCGGTGACTGTAGGGGGCTGCAATGCTGTTTCCCACTGTGGTTGCAAGGCATGCGGATACAGCAGTGCCAGTGCATGTGGGAGCAGACCCTCGCTGCTCCCTACGATCAGTGTGCAAGGCAATTAGTAGTTTACAATATCTCTATAAGGGTCAGAGAGAGCTCGACAGTTAAGAGCACTTGCTGCTCTCGCAGAGGACCTGAGTTCCATTCCCAGCACCGAGGCCAGATAATTCACAGTCGCCTATAACTCCAGCTCCAGGGATCAGTGCCTCTCCTGGCCTCCATACGCATACATGATCGCACACTCAGACATAACGTACAAACACACACATTTCTTTCTTTCTTCCATTCTTTCTTTTTTTTTATTAAAATTAAAAGTGTTTCCTCAAGGTCTGTGTTTCTTAGATTTCTGATTGAGGTGTTGTTTTGCTTTGGTTTGGTTTTGGGTTTTTCAAGACAGGATTTCTCTGTGTAGTCCTGGCTGTCCTGGAACTCACTTTATAGATCAGGCTGACCTCAAACAAAGTGTTGGTTTTTTGGCAGGTTTTTTGTTTGTTTGTTTGTTGGTTTGGTTTGGTTGTGTGTGTGTGTGTGTGTGTGTGTGTGTGTGTGTGTGTGTGTGTGTGTGTGAGAGAGAGAGAGATTTGGGTGTGGCTCATCATCTGTTTATTTTTCCTTCTCATAAAGTTTTCAACTAGGGGCCTTTGTCTTTCTGGTTTTGTGGTAGGCATTTGGGTCTGGTGGTCTGGCGCTTTGCATTTTCCCCAGTCTATAACCTTGTTTCTTCCCTTCTTTCTGTCATTATTTTCTGCTGCTATTCATGTGACCCCCTCTGTTCGCATCTCTTCTTTCTCTTAGCACATCTGTTCAGATCACTTGAGCAGCCACCGTTAGGATGGCCCTGCTCCAGTCCAGCCAGTTTCGGAGCACAGGTTCTGAGCTCTCTTACCCTTGGTACCCTCTTGCACACCCTTGGTGGCCCTCTATTGTGTTCGTAGGGGGTCACAGCTCCATGAAGGGGTTCTGGAAATGTGGGGTGATGTACTTTGTTCTCTTAGGGAGAAGCATAATCCTCCTTGTTGGCTCTATGCAGCTTCCTGTCCTGGGGCAGCGTGTACTTGGCGCACTTAGTGTACACACATGCTGTGTCCACTAAAACCTCTGCTTCTTGTTGACGCCACTCTGCTCTACCTAGTCACCTCTCCCTGCCCTCACATCCATGCACTCACTCTCCTCCCTCAGCTTCAATCCACTTCCAGTTGTCAACATCCCCTCTCCAAAACAGGGCTCTCTGTGTAGCCCTCCCTGGCTGTCCTGGAAAACTTTCTGTAGCTCAGGCTGGCCTCGAACTCAGAGATCCGCCTGCCTCTGCCTCCTGTGTGCTGGGACTAAAGGTGTGCAGGTGTGCACCACCACACCTGGCTCCTCCTCCTCCTTTTATCACTAACTTTCTATAGTACCTTCAGGAAAGAGCCCCCTGGCATCACAATTTCAGGCCACTGTGGCCTTCCCCGTGGTCCTCTTTGAACAGGAAGTAAGTGCTTAGGGAGAGGTGACCATCTCTCTCTCCGGGTCTCAAAGCAGAGGGCTTGACAGGATGCCCTGCCCATGGTGCCTCCCCTGCAGAAGAACTTTGATCCTGTGCCTTCTACCAGGCACCTGTGCTGTTCCCCTCCCCCACCTGGGAGTACCATCACCTGACAATGTGAAGCTCACCCGTATGGTGCTGTGTGTGTTTCAACAGGTTTAAAAATGTTATCTTTGAAATCGGTCCAACAGAAGAAGTTGGGGACTTTGAAGTGAAAGCCAAGTTTATGGGAGTTCAGATGGAGACTTTCATGCTGCACTATCAGGTGGGTGCTCACAGGCCTCGCCCTGAAGCTCTGATGCGGTGGGAGGAGAAGATAAGAGAAGGCCCTTTGGGGAAGGCTCCTGGGTTCAAAGGGCTCAGCGCCTGGTTGATGGGAGAAACCAAGGGTCTGGGGAGCTGGGCATGGCCTGTGCCCTCTAAGAGCTCCCCAAGGTGTAAGAGCTTAGAGTCCATTGGTGCCCTTGATGGATGTGCCTAACTGCAAATATCAACAGTGTGAAAGTGTATGCTCCTCAGTACTAGGAATTCATTTTTCCTCGTATGGATTTGATATGGATACTTTTGTTAGGTGTGTTACTTAAATGATGTGGGTAAGTTGGGTCTTTGTAAATCGGAATCACATTTTAAATTCAAAATGAATTGTGTAGTGATTTGTTTTATAACATAATTATCCCTAATTTTTATTTTTAAGGGTCTTCATTTTTTTTTCCCTTGGTGCTCAGGTTTAATCCTTAGAGACTTGTGCCTGCTAAGCATGGAGTTTCCCACTGAGCTCAGTTTCCAACCCCAGATATCTAATTTTGAAAAGTGGTAGGAATCTCATGTAGCCCACGCTAGCCTCAAGTGCACTGTGTAGTTGAGGCTGGCCTTGAACTCCTGACCCAATTGTTTCTCCCAGATACTGGGATTATAGATATGTGCTGCCATGCCTGACCACCTAAAATTATCTGCCCAGTGGGGTGGTGGCGCACAACAGTAGTCCTAGCACTCAACACACAGAGGCAGGGGGATTCAGAGTTTGAGACCAGGCTGGGCTTCATTGTGCATTCCAAGCCAAGCTATATAGTGAAAGTCATCTTTAAAACCCAAGGCCAAAAATATTCAGAAAATTGAGAGGATGCATAAAAGCAGGATCAAGACCCCTCTAGCTTTGTATGTAGGCCTCTTAGTTTTTGTTGATTGTTTTTGCAAAGCTGAGAATCAAACCTAGGGGCCTCGCACATGCCCTGAAGAGAACTGTGCTATCCATGTCTTAGCCCCGCCCTGCTTCACATGGCTGTGGTCTAGCAAGCCAGACGAGACTAATACTCTTCTGTGAGCACGCGGACTTCTGCACAGGATGCTCTCCCCTCCCATAACTGGCCACCCTTCCTGTCCTCCTACCCGCCTTCTGCCTGCATCGAACAGTGAGCACTAGCACGCGCATTGCCTCCCCTGCAGCCTTTCCCCATGGCCACATTGGCAGCTCTTCCCTTTGCCTCAGCAGCCCTGAGAGACGTCGTCTGTTGACGGTGTGAGCTGATTCATTTCCCTGCCACCCCCTAAACTGTGAACTCTTAAAACAGTATGTCTTAGTCATCTCCATTTCCTTCTTGGTAATCCGTAGTCTCTCAGAGCATATTAATTAAATAAACCTGTAAGGGCTTCTTCATACACTGTAACTAAGAACTACTACACACAACCCTGTATCCCATGGGTCTCACCATGTATGTAGAGGCTAAGGACTCTGCTAAGGAAACATATACACTGATGTTCACATTCATTAGACTTGCCTGGATTAGTTAATTAGGTTAGGCAAAGAGGACACATCATGGTCCCTATCCTCGGGACACTGAGGCCCCTTCATGCCCTTTGACCCTGGCTTTCTCATCACTACTCTTGCAAGTTTATCGGTAGAGACCCTGGCAGTGCTCCCGTAAGCCTTCAGGTCAGCAGAGGGCGCTGAGAAAACAGCCTGTGTCACATCTGGGCCACCCCAAAGCCTGCTCTTTTCTGATGGCCAGCCATGCCATCCAACTGTGAGCCTCAGCAGCCCATCCTTAAAGTTGGGGTAATCACACTTCATAGGACTTTTGTGACGACTTGAAAAGATACTTTGTAAAAAGCAATGCCTCTCACAGGCTAGGCATCCAGTGAATGTGTGGTCCTCCTATTTCGCTTGCCTTTACAGTAGAAAATCTTTCCCAGGTGGAACAGAAGTCTGAGTCTGGTAGGGCTGGGGCTGCACATCAGAGAACACATATTCAGTATTCAAAGGCCTGGGTTCCGTCTCTTAAAAAGAAGAGTCCAGTAGCTCATGGAGCTGGAGATGTGGCTGTCAGCTGGTGGAATGCTTGTTTGGCATACACAAAGCCCTGGGTTTGAGCCCAGCACTGTAGAACTGAGTGTGGTGGCACATATTCATTATCCCAGATGTGGAGACAACAGTTTGGGGCCAGCCTGTGCCAAATAAGACTGTGCCTCAAAAAAAAAAAAAAAAAAAAAAAAGCCAAAAAACAAAAAACTTAGTAGGTCTTGACACATTACTAGCCATTCTCATTTTCAGCCATTAGCATGTTTCATGAACTGAAATGTCTTTCCCTTTTCCATGGGTACTGATACTTTAACCCACAGCTGAAATGGAATGGGAAAATGTCATTGTAACTTCTGAAATAAGATTTAAATGTATGTATTTAACCGAATGTACCACTTCCATGTTTAGAATACTTTGCTATAACTAAATGATTCCCTAAGAGCAAGTTAGCCTGAAGATTGGCTAACCAGCCACACTTCCTGTTGCTCCAGCGCCCAGGGCAGTTGTGTGGTGGAAGGCTCTGCACTCTGTCGTCTCACTCGATGCACTTCACCTCTAGCATATGCGGCCTGTCTCAGCCTCCAGGCTCCTGCCTTCACTGGGACCTTCCAGACCTGATGGCTAAAATATTTTGTTTTGTTGTGACAGGACTTGCTGCAGCTACAGTACGAAGGGGTTGCAGTCATGAAGTTATTTGATAGAGCTAAAGTTAATGTCAACCTCCTGATCTTCCTTCTCAACAAAAAGTTCTATGGGAAGTAAATGGGCATTTGCTGCCCGTCCAGAAGAATTCAAAGTGGCAATGCCTGGTAGGATCCTCCATCACTCCTTGGAAGCAAAGACCTGGTCCAGAGGTGCCTCAGTCTCGCACTCCTGAAGCCCCATGTTTAAGTGCTCCCGCCCCTTCCCCCAGGACTTTCCATGCCCTCTTTTAACAGTAAATTGTACTTCAGGCTTCCTCTCTCCGGCTTCCTTCCATGTCTTTCATCACATAGAAAGAGTGGGCCCCACCCAGTCCCTTTCTGTCATGGTCTCCTAAGTGTTAATTGCTACTTTGTAAACATTGGTGGTTGTTTTACTTAGCAGTTAGAATGATGGGATTCCAATTCTTGTTTAGAAGTGAAAGCTGTCAGGTTAACAGCAAAGGTGCGCATCAGATTCATGGCTAAGGATGACCCATCAGTGCGATCAGAGGTGAAGTCAGTGATGTCTTCCATTCTGCTGCCTTTGTGGGCGGAACTAATCCCAAGTGTCTATTCTCTGTTCAAATGAAGCCGCTCCAGGAGAAAAACAACTGCTTTTGAATTCCCCATTAAGTCTGGGCAGCGCTCTTAGTGCAGTGTCCTTCCTGGTGAAGGAAACCCCATGACCATAGCTGGCCATCTAGAGTCACTGAGAGTGGGCTGAGGCACCCCCTCAGAGCAGTGCAGAGTTCCATTCAAGGACCGTGTCTGCGCCATCCCTCCCACAAAGGGATGGCTCACCCGAGCCCAAAATGTAATGTTTTCAAAACTGTTTGTGTCCAAGAGTGCCTTACTAAAGTATAAGTTTATCTCCTAAAATGTGAGTGATAGGAATCTTAAATATTTGTATAATGCTTTAGAGTACCCTGAGAAAGGGTCGTTTCTAATTGGGTTATCTGTATATCTGAATTCTTGAAGCTTCTCTATGGCCTATATTAGGGTTTATCTACAGAGTCAGTGAGAGCTTAGCAACAGCAGCCAACCCATGTCATGTTTGAAGTTTAAATCCATTTCCCACTCTCCTCTCTGCCTTCATATTCATGCTTGTATTCTGAGAAGCCTGGACCGTTGGGCTCCAACTAACAAAGACCGTTCAGTTTCAGGCATTGAATTTGGAAACCTTTGTTCTCAGATTAAAAGTCATAAACTTTTTTTAAAAAAATCTGTTTATCCAAAAAGATAGGTAAATCATGCTACTGAGCCTTCAATTTCTTTGATGTTTTTGTTTGGTATTCTTGCATAAAACGTAAAATTAAACTAATATTACAGAGTTTACTGATGTATATTGAAGGCCAATAAGCTATTTTAATTAGGGACAGATAGCCAGGCGATGGTGGCACATGCCTTAACCCCAGCACTCAGGAGGCAGAGGCAGGCAGATGTCTGCTTGAGGCCAGCCTGGTCTACAAAGTGAGTTCCAGGGCAACCAGGATTGTTATACAGAGAAACTCTGTATCAAGCCCCTCCCCCTGCAAAGTAGTTAATTATTGACAGATATATAGCTTGTCCCTTACATTACAAATGTAATATGTCCTCATGGGCAGGCCATGGTGGAAGCCTCAGAGAGTGGGTTCAGGTAGAAGTGGGTGCTGAGGAAGGGTCTGCCACCAGGGACCCTGTTTCTCATGATGTTTTAGAATAGTTTTCTCAGAAAATATTTTCTTTAGGTTAAAGGAAGACACTAAGGCTGGCATGTTAGGATATACCTGTAATCCAAGTTCTGAGAGACTGAGGCAGGAAGATCACTAAGTCAAGGCCAGCCTGGGCTACATAGTCATACCCTATTGGGGGAGGGGGTGGAATACTGTTAGAACCAGCATCACCTCAGACCGGACCAACAGATGTGCCCAATGTCCTTCTTTTTTTCTTTTTCTTTTCTTTCTCTCTCTTTCTCTTCCCTTGAGACAAGAGACAGGGCTCTATTTAGCTTTGACTGTACTGGAACTCTGTGTAGACCAGGCTGTCCTAGAACTCACGGATATCTGCCTGCCTCTGCCTCCCAAGTGCTGGGATTAAAGGCACAAAGCCACTATGCCTGTTTTCAAAGAAAGAATGCCCATCACAAACGTGGTGCCGTCAGCCATCTCCACGATAGTAAGTGTACGGTTCATGGTGCCTTAAGATGTCTCAGTTAACTGTAAGGATGCTCCTTCCTGAATACCAGTTAGAACTGCACCAAATGCCCCTCGGAACCTTTTCGTGGCTGCTCTGGAGCCCTGCCGTAAGCAGCACTGGGGTCACCTGTGGAGCCTCAGCTTGGCACACTGACGTCGTGCCACACTCGTGTTATTTATTGCTGCTGCCGTCCCTGTCTTGGCTCTCCCCTCCTCCTCTGACCTTCTCTCTGACCAGCCATCATGACATTTACTATGAATTTACTTCCTCCCAAGAATTTGGACTGGCCCTCAGATTGTTGCTACACACAATTGCCTTTGTATCTCTGTGTGAAATAAAAGGTCATTTGTTCCTGTTTGTGTTTATTTTTCTCAGTTTCATTGTTAGAAGTTCCTGTTAAACAGTGCTAACTAGAGTAAGATTAAATCACCAAACCCCTTTGCAGTCTTTTCTAAAAAGAGCAAATCAAGTCTGCCTTTGAACCACAGAATACCATTTTTAAATTTTATGTGTGTGTGAGTGTGTGTGCGTGCGTGTGTGTGTGTGTGTGTGTGTGTGTGTGTGTGTGTGTGTGTGTATGTGAGAGAGAGAGAGAGAGAGAGAGAGAGAGCACAACTTGGGAGTGTGTTCCCCCCTCCCACTATGTGGGTCGCAGGGATCAAAGCCAGCTCGTCAGGTTTGGTAGGAGGTGCCTTACCTGATAAACCATCTCACCAGCTTTCGGATTATGAGCATTTTTTTTTTTTTTTTTTCCCAATATGAGTGCATGTACACCTGCAGGCCAGAAGAGGGCATCAGATCCTGTTACAGATGGTTGTGAGCCACCATGTGGTTACTGGGAATTGAATTCAAGACCTCTAGAAGAGCAGCCAGTGCTCTAAACTGCCATGTCATCTCTCCAGCCCCCATTATGGACTCTTTTGATGTTTAGCCTTTTAAAGTGTGTTATGCTTCAAGTAGCCTCAATATAAGAACGTAGTGAGGGACAGCCTATTGCCACATAACTGTGGCAGGCTAAAGCCTGAAGGTTTTTAATTGCCCCTTGTGTTAATTTACCAACAGCACAACAGTTGTTAAGCATGGAGAGCGGGGGCTCCTGTCATATGCAAATCACCAGAAATGACTGGGGTAAACTGGATATAGAAACAGTAAAGCATCAGCTGCAAAGAATAAGATAAGATGGGAGCAGGGAGCGACACTAGAGAAATGACTCTGTAAGAAGCACTGTGGCTGAGTGTGAGGACCAGAGTTCAAATCCCAGAACTCACATCAAAGTAGGCATAGTAGCACACGTTTCTAATCCAGTGTTCCTGCAGTGAGATGGGAAACGGCGACAGGACATTCTCCAAAAGCTGGAGGCCTGTGGAGCTTGGCATACGAAGAAAAGACCCCCGTCTCAGGTGGAAGGCAAGGCTGACTCCTACTGTCCTCTGGCCTCCACATCATTGCTCACACAACCTTACATAAGAATACATGTCTCACTGGGTGGTGGTGGTGCATGCCTTTAGTCCCAGCACTCTGTTCTGCAGAGGCAGGCGGATCTCTGAGTTTGAGACCAGCCTGCTCTACAAGAGTGAGTTCCAGGACAGCCTCCAAAGCCACAGAGAAACCCTGTTTCCAAAAAACAAAAAAAGAATGCATGTCTCTAGTATCTTACTGTGTTTGTAAGCTAGCCAGATGTGCAAAGCCAGTGGTAATATGACTGAAGCAATAATCCCAAGTGAGTTTAAGCAACAGATCGGAATGGTTTGTGTGAGGGGCTGCAGTGGCCCCCTAAGGAAGAACATCATGGTCAGAACATGGTTTCCCTAACATGGGACCTTCAGGAGGAACAACACAGGATGAGCCACAGATTTCTTCTGAAACACGGTGCCATCAAGCAGGCTGGCTATTGGGGCATGAACTCTGTTAGCCTGTGCTCTATATTGTCCTGCAAAGAAGCCTGAGGATCCTTAAATATAGAGAACTGGGCAGCAATGTTCTTTTTTATTCCTTGCAGTGACCCGACCAAAAGCAACTGCATAGAGGAAGGTTTATTTTGGCTCATAGTTCAGGGGAGTGCAGTGCACCATGGTGGTGAAGGTATAGCAGCTGCCTGCAGCAGGGCTGGTGGTGCCAACCAGGAAGCAGAAGGGATTGTCTGTTCAACTGGCTTTCTCCCTTTTTATTCTGCCCAGGACCACAGCCTGAGGAAAGGTCCCACCAGATCCCAGGGGAGGTCCTCTCAGTTATATCTCTCTGGAGTCTCAAGATAAACTTAGAGGGGTTGGAGAGCTGGCTCCACACCTAAGAGCATGTGCCACTCTTGCAAAAGACCTGTGTTCCCAGCACTCACGTGGCAGCTCACAACCAGCTGTTGCTCCAGTTCCAGGGGATCCAAAGCCCTCTTCTGGCCCCACAGGCACCAGGCACTCATAAGTTTGCAGACATAGATGCAGGCAAAGCGCTCATACGCACAAAATACAGGAACAAAGACACTCGGAGCTGTGTCTCCTGGGTGATTCCAAATCCAGTCAAATTGATAGGATTAATCACAGGCAAAATCTAATCAGTAAAGTCACCATGAAACTGACTCAGACAAAATGGAGGTCATCCCTCAGCTGATAGCCAACCCAGAAACTCTGGAGTGCCCCACTCACTTAACCCTAAAAAGATTTGGGGGAGTTTATATCTACCTTCACACATTTTCTCCTCCAGCTTGATGGGTGGTTTGCTTTCATTGGTTGGTTTTGGATGGCCTCAAGTAAAACATTAGCATCTAATTCCTATTGCCAAGGACAGTTTGGACTTCAATCATCTGCACCCACCTCCAGAAACCAATGGGATTACAGATGTGGACCACCACTAGCAGCTCATTTCCAAGTTCTTAGATTTAAGTTACAAAGTGTGGGCCTGGGGTGTAGCTCAGTGAGAGGGCTCTTGTCCAGCATGCATATGACCTGGCTCATTGCCCAGCACAACTTTATAATGGCTGGTATGTTGTGGACTTTGAGACGGCAATTGTTTCATACAGGTATGAAGTGGATACCACTGTCACCCAGGGTTTTGGGTTGGTTGGTTGGTTGGTTTTTGTTATTGTTTTGATATGAGGTTTCTCTGTGGAGTGCATGCTGGCCTGAAAGTCATCAAGATATGCCTGCCTCTGCCTTACCAAGAATGGTCTGGTGTGTTCCGCCACAGCTGCTGATAGCGTCCTTTTGGAAAGGTGCCTATATACGAAGCTCTGGGGAGGTTTTGAATCCCTTTTGTTCCTCCCTTGAAACTGGTGAGTTTTGTTTTCTTGTTTGCAGTACTGGGGCTAGAACTCAGGGCCCTGTGTGCACGAGGCTAGCTTCTGACCAACAGGCTTTCACTAAGTTGCCCGTGGTAGCCTTGAACTTGTTCTATAGCTTAGGCAGGCTCTGGACTTAGGAACCACTTCCTCAGCCCCACAAGTAGCTGGGGCTATATGACTGCTCATAATGCTTGACTAAAAGTAAGTCTTGTCTTTAATTGTCCTATCAGTTACTTGTAACAACAAAACAGGGCTGGCAAGATGGCTGAGCTGGTAAAGGCACCTGCTTCCCAGCCTAATGGCCTGAGTTTGAGCCTCAGGACTTACATAGTAGAAGAAGAAAACCAACTTCCAAAAGTTGTCCTTCAATCTCCCCATGTAAATACACACAAGCATATAAATAAATGGGTTTTGTGTGTGTGACCATAAAGTTATTAAACCAGCCAGAAAACTCATTGTATGTCATCACAGAAACATAACATTTTTAAGGGTTTTACATAATTATTGCTGAACCAGCCAACTCTTGTAAAGCAGATAAAAAGCAAACCAGAGCCAGGCAGTGGTGGTGAGTGCCTTTAATCCCAGCACTCTGGAGGCAGAGGCCAGCCTGGTCTACAAAGCTGCACAGAGAAACCCTATCTCAACAACAAACAGAGTGAGGGGGGAGGGAGGGAGGGAGAGAAAAAGAGAGAGGGAGGGAGGGAGAGGGAGAGAGAGAGGGAGAGACCAGAATTCTAGTAAAAGTTGAAAATCTCTACCTTCAGAAACCTTCAGCCCTTGAGGTAGGCTGATCACTGCCCTTGACTCAGAATAGCTGAGCAGAGTGTGGGTCCTTAGGGACCCTGCCAGACTCCCCTCCAGTGTCTTCTTACAGTTGTATCTGACTTTGTCACCAACGTTCATCCAAATCCACTGGGAAGTGGCACAATCTTGCTTTTGCTTCTTGGACAGGGAGTGCTTGGTCTGAAAGGCTTGGCAGATGTGGTACATGAAACATATTGGCAACTATGGCAGGAAGATCCAAAGGGGCCTCTCTGAAAGCTGTCTGAGATCAGGGAAGGTTCTCTAAGAATCCTTCATTCTATTTAAAAACAAAAACAAAAAAACGCCAATTACTTACAACAGAAGTAATAACACAATTAGGTTCCTCCACTTTTTAAAGATTGTTTTTTGGAAATATTTTTATTTATATACATGAGTGTGCAAGTAGCCATGGGGACAAGAAGATGGTGTGGTATCCCCTGAAGCTGAGTTATGGGCCTGACACGGGTGCTGGAACCCAAACTTGGGTCTTCCGCAAACACAGCAAGTGTCTTTAGCTAAACCATCTCTCCAGGCCCCTAGGCTCCACAGTTCCATTGGGAAGGAACATAAAGGCTGCCTACTCAGCATGCTCAAGGCCCTGGGTTCTATCCCTCCACCACCCTCCCAAAAACAAACGAAACATTTGATATGAAAGAACATTACCGAATATGGAAAAGGATTTTTTTTGTTCTGTTTTTCTTTTTAGAGACAAGTTTCTCTATGTAGCCCTGGCTATCCTAGAACTAGCTCTTGTAGACCAGGCTAGTCTCGAACTCACAGAGATCCGCCTGCCTCTACCTCCCAAGTGCTGGGATCAAAGGCGTGCGCCACCACCACCCGGCAATTATGTTTCTCTTATTGATTGATGAATAAAGCTGTTTTGGCCAATGGACAGGCAGAATTTAGCTAGGTGGGAATTCTGAACAAAGAGACAGGAAAAGAGAGACAAAGGACAGACACCATGTAGCAGCCAGGGAGTCAAGAGACCCGGGCATCACCGGTAAGTGAAGGCCACCTTGAAATACACAGATTAATAGAAATAGGTTAATAAAGAGAAGCCTAAGCCATTCACTAAACAACTGTAACTGATTTTAAGTCTCAGAGTGGTTATTTTTTAAGCAGCTGTGTGTGGAGAGGAAACTGGTCCAGTGCGATCAAGACAGACAGAGAAAATCTCCTTCTATACTTCCCAGATTTCTCCTTCTCTTTATTCTCTCTGCCTGCCAGCTTGGCCTATCCTTTCTCCTGCCTCTCTATTGGCCAGTCAGCTCTG